CCACGGCAGGTTCCCTTCTTGCCTAGATCGGTTTCTCCGACAGGACGTCAGATCCTCAGGCGGAACGCTGCCACCCGAAGCATGTACCTCTCATAACTCAAAAACGATTATCAATAGAACGTTTTAATTTTGTATATGAGATTGCTATAACATCTAGTTGTGCACCTCCTTTTTTCATTGCAGAATTATTTTAAGAATGAGTTATATGTGAAAAAATGAACGAGTTAATTTTGAAAAACTGGTATAGAAAAGTGAAGTTTTGAAACTGCGCTACACATTCCATTTATCAAAAAAAAAAAAAAAAAAAAAAGAAAAAAAAAAACTGCACTCCATTCATATATAAAAATGACATGAAAAAATAATGTGGAAGCCTTCAAAGTTTATAATTTTCTTATACGAGGAGGGTGAAAGAAAAAAAAACAGAGGTAAAAGCATGGTCTCTGTTTTGAACCAGTACTCCCTTATCATACACATGCAATTCTTTTTTTAAAAATTTCTTAGTATTTTTATATTCATTATAAATACACTCAGTATTCTAAATATTACATATATTCTAAATTATATTAAAAACACAATTCTTGTATGCACTTTTCTATACCAGTTTTTCAAAATTAACTCATTCATTTTTTCACATATAACTCATTCTTAAAATAATTCTGCAATGAAAAAAGGAGGTGCACAACTAGATGTTATAGCAATCTCATATACAAAATTAAAACGTTCTATTGATAATCATTTTTGAGTTATGAGAGGTACATGCTTCGGGTGGCAGCGTTCCGCCTGAGGATCTGACGTCCTGTCGGAGAAACCGATCTAAGCAAGAAGGGAACCTGCTTTGGTTTGTGAAGGCCTGTGCTAGGAAAAAATCAGTCTTCAGACGTGAAATTCATACCTTTGGAAAGATAGTGGGGAATTCGTCCCATCTATCTTGCCAAAGCCCTATGATGTTTTAAAAGGTCTTGAGCTTAGTTACTTCTTCTGAAAGTAGAACTTCGATGTTAACTGTCGAGTGGGATGGACAATCTTGCCTAGACTGTCAAATCTTTTGGCTGCCCGTAAGTTATTAACCCAGTTAATGGAGATGGACGTGCCCGGTTTCTGTGACGTAAGATTTGTAGAGCTGCTGGGCGATCTGGGTTATTACCCTTCATGTTCAGACTTTGCAAGACGCTCGTGCTGCGAGAATAGATAGCGATGTTAGAACAATGTGCCCTGTTCAGACTACTGTTCGTTTAAGTGCTTGAGACTACGCTTGGAACACGGAGGTTGTGTCATTTGCGAACGGAGGAATACGGAGGCTAAAAGACCGAATTCATTTCTGTGTTGTTTTTGTGTTGTTGTTTTTGTGTTGTTGTAGAATAAAGTAATAAAATTGGAGTTATATTATTTTTAGGAGATTAAATTGTTTAACGTCAACAACATACGTCAACACAACATACGTCAAACAATTTTCGCTAGAATCATATATGTGCCACTCTATAACGCCAAAAACGAGAAAACGTATTTTGACATTAGCCCTTTATCACTGAGAGAAAAGGATATTGAATTCATCGCCAGTATATCTACTAAAACTGAAACAGTACCGAGAATGATTTTCATGTGATTGTTTGCGCATGAAGTTCTTTGAAAACAATAATCCAGCTAAGAGCAGATGAACACAGCGAATTTAATTTAATGGTTGGAAACAACATTACCTAGTGTTACGAACTTTGCATACATGTAAATAATTTTGGTAAACTTATATGTGAAACTGAAGTCACTTTTGTACAATGCAACAGTAAAAATCTGAAGAGAGCGAAGCTCCTATGGTAAAAATAAGATTGCAGGGCCAAGTCTATTTAACATTGAGGTAAACGGCTATATCGCCAAGCCGGCGACAGATTTGGCGAATAATTTTTATCGCCAAATGTAGAGCGAAATCACCAGAAGTCACGAAACTTCGCGACCTTTTGGTCTGGTTCCTCTTTAACTGATAGTGTAATTGAATAACACTGATTACATTCAAGATGTCCAAGCACGGTTTGAAATGATGCATAATTTGGCATCAGAGCGAGGCAATTTGGTGACCGAGACGATGAACTCGCGATACGATTCAAGAGCTACGTGAAGTCGATTCAACGAAGGTGATAAAGAATAGTAATGATTTTTTCATAAATCAGTCATCCTGGGACGGTGCTTACATGGTCCTAAACAGGCTAAACGAAGTCTTAGTTCGGATCCGTACGTCATCCCGTTCTAAGCCTAAAGTCGTTCATCATGACACGCGGGCTCCTTACTATGACCATAGTACGTAGTGTAGATAATGTAAATAGTACAAGATCATGGTCCTACTTGTATTAAATATGTAAAATTTTTGCATTTATGGATTTAGTATTCGATTTGTTTTAAGTTATTTATTGAAATTATTGTTTTAGTATTGCATTGATTTTCTTTAGTTATAAGTATGGCTTCCTGTCGAGGGATTGTATTGCACAGGACGTGTACTTCTTGGGAAGGAGGCAATGCTATGAATTTGGTATACATTAATTTTGGTGTAGCTATGTTAAACTCTAGTTTCTTTTGTACAATGTAACGTGGAATGTCTGAAGAGAACGAAGTTCTTTCGGAAAAAGGAAATTACAATAGCAAGTCGACCCACGAGCGGCCGAGCGCTAAAGACTCTGAACACTGGTAATTCGGTCCGAGGTTCGAATCCCGCGAACGGACTGGCTACATGGGCGTTTTCGTGGTTTTCCCCATGTGTAACGTGTCCAAGAGTCAGTTCCCTTAGAAAGTCCTCCACGAAGGCATCCCTCCCTTTAGACAGATAGTCCTCGTGTGCTTTGCCATAAGTGAATAATTGTGCTACTGATTGTGCTTTGTAATACTATAGCTGCAAGAGTACTTTTGCTGAAAGTTCTAGAACTGTAAAGTATTTCTTTATTAAAAATAAATTTTATCAAGATCTCATTGGTTCTCCGTGTATTTAACCCAGTACGAACCAGTATACGCGCAACAATACATTTTATTTATAATTTTTTGCGGTAGAAAATTTTGCAAGTTGTTCCATAATGAAAAATGTTTTATTTTTTCAGGAAAAATTTCCTTTTAGAACTGATACTTGGTCATGAGAGTATTCGGGAATATATGAAGACTGTTTCTAAGGAAATATTTTTTTTAAATCTAATATGCATGCAATTAGTTTATCACCTTCACAATAAACGTCCTTTAACTGAATTTCCAGCGTTGTTGCCATTCTTCTAAACGCAGAAAGTCTCCAGATGGTTCAAACTCCTGGTCGCAACTCTCTGAAAGTCATCCGATATCCTAAAATAATACTCTTGAGAACGAATTTTGAGGAATAGAAATATGGTACCAAGATAATTCAGGGCTCTACGGTAGATGAGAAGGCGTTGCGATATTTGTTTGACTAAAAAGTTTTGGTAATTTCCGATTATTTCAGATATTGTTTATTGTGATCAATAAATCAAAATATTTTAGTTTATATGATCAAAATATTTTAGAATAATTTTTTTTAAATTGAAGTCGGCAAGTAAAATGTATTATAAAGATTGTCAAGTTGCAAAAAAAAAAAAAAAAAAAAAAAAAAAAAAAGTATCGCCAAATAAGATTTAAGTCGCCATACATGTTGGTTTTAATCTTAGTCAACCTTTTAAAATTAAACAAAATGACAACAAAACCAACTTCGACGTAGATTTAGATTTTTAATAATTGATCTGTTCTGAGGAGATCAGATACATGTCCCTCTTTCAAGAGCAAAAATTCTGCGCATTATTTTTTCCTAGAAACATCTACGCCAAAGGTCCGAATTTCACACTGGCAAGTTCTCTTGTAATGCCGCTCAGACAGGAAAGTGTTTAACGATTCCGACTGCCGTACCGAAGGCCCCGCGTTCGAATCCCAGAGAAGGCATGGATGTAAAATTTCTGTTCCTTCATAGGAGGCAACAGTGGCCCACTTGTTAGGTGCCTCCATAACGCAGTGATCGCCGATTTCGGCCTAAGTAGTGGCCAACGCCTGCAATGGCTAGTACCGTTTGGGGAGGTCTCTTGAAATCAACTTCGAACATTTAGATTAGTGGCCCAGCATTTTTCAAATAATTACCAGAAATATTATAAAACGTTCATAAACAAACCTTTGTATTTCCCTGATTAAAATTTCTTGAAAGTACCAGTTTCTAGTTATATTTACATTCAAGTACTTGAATTCCATTACTATTTTGATGGACATTTTAATATTATTCGGTTGATGCTATCAAAATAGCAGAGAAGAAACGTAATCGCACTAAGTGTAGCCTACTGTATTTAAAAACTATGTCCAATCATTTGATAACACGAACACAAGGTAGCGTTTTCTTTCGAAAATGAAATGGCGAGTTCAGTAACTGAAGGGGCAGATTGCGTTAGTACAACGCTAGTTTAAACATCGGTTGCCAAAAATTTGGGTTTGTTCAATAACCAGTCTTCAAATGACCCAAGAGCAGTTTGAAAAAAAAAAGTTTGAATAGAAATTTATTTCCATTTAGTTCGTTTCGTGCTTTTATAAATCGCTTACATGCAATGCAAATTCAATAGAAATTCTCGTCTTCAGCATATTTGAACAAGGTAGTACAAAAACTACAAAGATTCTGAATATTGTAAGTTACTGAAATCTTTTTGTACAAGCAAGAATTTATGGCATTCTAATGTCAGAATTGCTTATGAGAGTACACAGTTTTCAGATTCCCTTTATTTGAATTTCCCGTTTTTGGCTAACGAATTCTGGAGAAATGAAAGGATATGCACTATAAAGAAGTCAAGATTGTTTATGGAAGAGGAATATAATTCTATGTTGCGAACTAGAGAAGTGCTTTTTTTTATTAATTCAGTTTCATTGCATAAATTTTAACTTATCTGCTTTTTCCACTAAGTTCAGCATCAAACAAGTTTTATATACCGTACACATGATAAAGAAAATTCTTTCAATTAAAAATACGTTTTGTGGCAATGAAAATATCATGAACAGACTTATTCTCACATCAGCATAACAAACATACATTGAATATGAAGACAGATAGAATGAAACCATCTTTTAATGAAAATATTTAATAAAATATTACATTATAAAGTGTTTAAAACAAACTGCGCATTTACATTCAATTTCTGAAGCGCTCTAGATGCTTTCTGTCTTTCATGTTATAATATTGCATTAAAATTATGTGCAAAGTTTAAAATCCTAAAACTACAAAAAATTTGTCACATTTAAATGTAAAAGAGCAGGAATATCTAAGGAATTTCCGTACTCATTCTTAGATTTGTGTTGAAATTAAAACTTCGAGGTCTGTTGCTGCTTTCTGGGAGGAGATTCCCCATCTTAGAATCAGTATTATCTCAACGATGAAAAAAATGATACAAATGATGATAATTGCTGTTAAAATATGAATAGGTGATAAGACCGTCAATAGATAGATGAACAGAGCGCAGGTTAAAGACGAGACAGCGCAACTGGCTAATACCATTATTAGACATTTCACGAAGTAACCCATCGCTCCAATACCTGAAATAAAAAAAGTTTTATGAGAATAAAACACTTAAATCCTAAGTTCCTAAGCTTTAGTTGTTACTTCAGATACTCTACAGCAGTGGTTCCCCAAACATTTTCTGTTAGGGCTTCTCGTAGTGTATCCGAATTCTTGCACAACGCCAGAAGGGAGAAGGTAGTCGTATCTAACAGTTGCACAACAAGTCAGGTATATAATTTTGTTGGTTCATTTTAAAGATGAAACAAGTACTGGAAACTCATAAAATTTATATCAAGTATACTAAACAAGTACATTAAACACTCAGTGAACAAACGAATTGCAAATAATGAGGTCTGACTACAATTTGTGAATGATATTTTAAGGTCTTTGGCATTTAAATGAACATTACAGTCTCATTTTCTGTTTAACACCGTTCCTTCTAGTACTTGCTTCCTATTATGTCAAGCACTCATACTTCAGTTTTACGCAAACAGTGTGTTAGGTTAGGTTATTCCGATGTGGAAAAGTACGCAAGGCCTGTTTGGCTTAGGAGAACTCTCTAAGGGCAACTTGCTCGTATTCACATCACACATGGAGAAAAATCACGAAACCCATTCATGTAGCCAGCTCATTTGCCCGAGATTGAACGCAAGCCGAACTTCCAAGCATTCAATGCCTGTAACAACTTCGTCACTGGTGAGGCTGCAAACACTACTTACTGCGGAGATAGTTTTAATGATATACAATAATCAGTTGGTTCCCTGCTGCGAAGTTTTACCTTTAATGCATTGCCCGAAAGCTGTTTCATGCTATTTCCTTCTACAGGAGGAAGTTCAGATGAAGGGCTTTGGATCTATGTGAATGTATTGAAAAAATTTTCTTGAAAGTAATTTTCAAGCCCCTTCGTAATTTTGTATGTGCTTCAATCAATATACAGATTGTATACTTTTATTAGATGTTTTTCCTATCACAGTATTAACAGATCCACGACTTTGTTCGAAAACCGGGTGTAGAGTATTAGCGTTAGGGAAACTTTTGTAACCCTTGGTCATCAAGCATAGCATAGTACTCACAAGCTATCTCTACAGATGTTATGCCCCAAGCATTTATTTATTTATCACCATTGAGCAGCTTCTGACCTAAGGTAATGTAATGTATTATACGACTGTGCTGCAACCTTCCTGGCCGATAATAATCGGCCGCACGGTTAACGCAGCAGACCCAAGGCAAACAGTTTCTGACCTGAAGTGTATACCAAACAGAATAGTACCTGCTTGAGCGGATAGATTTACAATCCAACAGCCACCACCAGAGTAGGGCTGAGAGTTCTAACGACAATTTTTTCTTCTAAAAAAATCAGAAAATACATAGTGTTACATAAACAATGACGACTTGAATTCATATGCTACATATAATTCAGAGTTATAAGTTGTAATAAAAAAGTTGCTGATTTAATTTTACAAGTAAGTATTTAAAATTATAAACAAAAATATAAAAATAGAAATCAAATTAAATGAGGAAAAGAAAGAATATGAATAAAATGAATAAATAGTAAAAGTACATAAGTTAATAAAAAAAGCTTTATGCGACAATGACTCAGCTAGTTGATGAGTACGAATATCGTTCATTACAAGATTGCATATTTTAGTCAGTTTAGTAAGAGCTCCTTTACTATTTAAAAAGTAAAGGAGCTCTTTCCATTGTTCAAAGTCCATTGTTCCGAGTACTGATCGCTCACCAGCGGCCGAGCGGTAAAGTCGCTGAACACTGGTGGTTCGGTCCGAGGTTCGAATCCCGCGAACGGGCTGGTTGCATGGGTGTTTTCGTGGTTTTCCCCATGTGTAACGTATATACGAGCCAGTTTCCCTTAGAAAGTCCTCCACGAAGGCATCCCTTCCCTTAGGCAGATAGCCCTAGTGTGCTTTGCTATAATTAAATACACCACCATACCATCGACTAACTGAGACAAGTACACTCTAGAATTATCTGTTTAATGTGAGAGATGCCTTCGTGGAAGAATTTTAAGAAAATTTAACTCTTATACAAATTGCTTGCTCTAAAGCAGTCGATTGAAAATTTCTGCTTGGAACCTTGTGGCTCCTAGCAGTTCTTGAATTCGAAGTTTTTTAAGTCAAAATCAAAATTCCAAAGAATTTGTTGTCGTAGAAAACAAAACTAATTATCTAAAATGGTTAAATTTTGTTTGGTACTTTCTGATTATCCATCTCCCCCCCCATACCATGAAATTTCGCCATTTCATTTGAATATGAAGACAACACAAAAAACAGAAAAACAGTTTGTTTCACAGGCTTATGCCTTATAGGTAAACTTCTGTTCATAAGTAATAAAAACAAGCATTTTCTAAGAAATTTTGAGAGGGGGAAATCTGTGTGAGTAATGTTTACGTATTTGCAGGCAGTGGACACTGTTCAGCGAAATACTAGTTAAATGTAAAGCATAAGAACCATGTGCACTCAACTCGTAATACGAGTTTGCTATTGCTTCAATACTTTAAAAACACCGCAGTTTTACCATACGTTGAAATCGGGGGAAGGGGAGGCGGGTAATCAGAAAGTACCCAGTATATTTTTCTATTGTTAGTGTTTAAAATGCAAAGTTAATCTTTTTTGCGAATAAAATTTTAATGAAATAATGATCTTCCCTTCATCTGCTATTTGAAGCGGCACTAAATTAATATATTTTCAATTATTTTTAAGCATTTTTCTAAGAATGGTAACTTTTCCAAGAATTTTCTACCCCAAAAATTAGTTTTAAGTTTTGCACAGAAAACAAATTATATAGTTAGAAATCTATAAAGTTTGAAGACCACTAACCTAAGGAAATGTGGATTTGTAAAGAGTGAAAGGTTTTAGTTCCGGCAAGATTTTTTCATATGAGTTTATCGCTATCGTAGACAGCATAATTTGCAAGACTTACGGCTCTTTGTTTAGTCAATTCTTGTCAATATAAGGATTTTCTAGATCTTTTTATAAGATTAATCAGAAGAAGGAAGGAAATTTGGGATTTATTTCAATTTCATGAAGAATTGGTATTTGAAACCATTAATAATAACGTTAAAACAACCAGCAAAAATTACTTCCCGAGAGAACCTTAATTCATGTGTCCTTAATTATATTCATTTTGAAGCTTCTTAGGAAAAGTTAGCTTAATACGCTAAAGCTGCTTGTGAATGTTCTCTAAATGAAACAGTATAGAAGAAATTCATTTTAGACATAAAAATAAGTTTCATCAGAAGCTTTCATACGGGATCAAAATGGAGGGAATTAAAACAAGAGTTTAAGAAAAATAAAACACTGTATAAACTAACCTCTAAATACACCAAAAAATTCAGAAAGGGATGCCCCTCCCTGGGATTTATCTTAAGTATACACAAAAGAACATTAGCGTATCTCGTAAAATTGGACATAAATAAAAGTTGACTAAACTACTATATTGCCGACCTAGGCAATAGAAGAATAACAGTAATAAGCTTTTTAGCCAGTATCTACCGCTATGTGGTTAATTTTAACGAGCCGCGATCACTATCCATGACAAGGTTATTCAAAAACAACTTGCAAAATTGATGTACAATATAAACGAATATGCAACTGCGAAATGAAATCTGTTGGCTGTCATTCAATGCAATTTACTAAAATGAAAACAATCGCATCTTGCCTCATCAACGGCAAAAATGGCGCATGTGCAAATTAAATAGCTGATAAATAAATGACAAGTTTTCTTAGGTAAGAGGAAATAACTCAAAAAACTGTAGCCGATATATCTGTTGTATCCATATATGAAAAAACATTGTTGAGCGTATTAACTTGCGTGTCCTGAAAATATTTAACTCTGTTGTTAACTTTTTTTTTTTATAGTTTCTGAAATGTAGTTAGTCTTAATAAAAAAAGCGTCCTGATTAAAAATGTTAAAATATTAAAAATTACAAAAACTGTCATTGCTTACGTTAAAAAGTGGATGATCGATTGTGAAATATGCAACTACTATTCTAAGAAAGAGCATAATTATTCCTCCATTGATGATGAAATTGGTGGAAATCTGTTGGGCCTTACGAAGCGCGACAGCCAGAATTCCAAGGGAATGCTCAAAACCAGCATTATGGCAAGTCCCGCAATGAAAGCCTTGACGAGGCAGGAAACTGTAAATCGTAAGAGAATCCTTCAGAATGTCTATTAGTAGAGATAAGATAATGCAAAAGCCAAGTGCAACGGCAGACAATTTCACAAGATTCATGGCTCTGGATAATCTGTAATATACACAATTAAAATTCACTTAGAAATAAAATTAATAAATCATGCTCATATGAACACAGCACTGGAACTAGTCACATTAATGTTTTTAATTTCTGTGTTCTTAATGTAATTATGTCTGCGCTGTATGTATTATACGGTATATAGTGTGTATTTAATTATGGCAAAGCACACTAGGGCTATCTGCCTAAGAGGAGGGATGCCTTCGTAGAGGACTCTCTAGGGGAAACTGGCTCGTATACACGTCACACATGGAGAAAACCACGAAAACACACATGCAGCCAGCTCGTTCGCGGGATTCGAACCTCGGACCAAACTACCAGTGTTCAGCGACTTTACCGCTCGGCCGCCGATGAGCTATATGCATTATATAGAAAACTAAACTTGTTCCGCATTTTGACGATTTCCCGTTCTCTGGAGAATTGTTTTTTTAATGCCGACTTTACTGCTATCCCTTGATCGCAAAAGCTTATTTTTGAACTATTTCTAGTGTTCGACATTTCTTCGCATTCAAGAAAAAATTTTAATCCTTGACTGGCATGACACATCTCAGAGACTACATTCCTCCATTTCTTTAAATTTTGTTTACCAGCAGAACACACGGTATACAGCCTTTTAAAAGAATAAAGAGAATGACATATTTCGTAGTATACAGGCGATTAACTTTAAAATAGACATTTTATTTTAGAACACCATATTTTCAATTCGTTAGGGTTATTATTTACATCAGTGAAGTAATATGTATCATACAAAATTGAACCCTCCTTCGCTGCATTGTTTGGTAGTTGTCAACTATCACAAAATGATATTTCCCAAGGTCAGTTTTGGGGTTGGAGAATAATAGCAATCACTCAGCCTAATCGGGACTATATTATAGATGAGGAAGCTTAAGATATTTTTTAGCCTAATATTTTTTCGCACTCAGGTGTCCGATTTGGCCCAACGATAGTCCTAGGGAAAGAGCCCTAGGGATGTTTGTAGTTCCATGAGACACAGGCCCAATTCTTTCTGAAACACTTGAGTATACTCTCTTCTCTTTTTCAGCCCGTGTTAAGACCAAAACTAAAATAAACTTTGCAAAGCACAGATGTCAGAAAACATGCTGATTCAACTGAGAAAAGCCAACAATATTTACAAGGATTCCCTTCCCTAACTTATGTTCATTAATGGTCGAGAGGCAGAGCCGTTAACTCATGCAGTTCGAAACAGTATCATATCCTGACAAAGGGGAGAACTGCATCGAATTTTCTGAGATTTTCTTCACATGAAATGTGAATACGAGTTATTTTCTCTTAAAATATCCTCCACGAAGGCATTTTAAAGCTAAGACACGCAGCTGCTGATTGCTTTTCCATAATATAAATTATTCTTAATCCATGTCTGCACTTTTCTCTAATTCATTTTTCTTTCCTAATCCTTCGACTCAGAAGAAAAAACTTTTGAGAGATTACATCTTTGTGTCACCAGTAAAATTATTAAATGTATCTAAGAATGAAACTTAACAATTTCTATGCATAATTTATTATATTTTTGAAAAGATATTAGGGATCTAAGCTTTTACAGAAGGTCTGAAGATGCACCATACCATAAAATTTAAGTGTCAATAAGTAATGTAAACAATATTTAATTTCAATAAAATTTTAATCCTCGAAATTAACTTTTCATTTATTTTAGGGCCGGTTATCGGTCCAGAGAATAAGACAATGTACACTCTTATGACTTGAATGTAAATTTAGGCGAACGGCGAGATCGCATTCGTAATTTTTCTCTATTGGTTGAATAATTATGAGCTAGTTACGCTTTAAAAATACTACAAGAAGTCATTTTCTTCAAGAAAAGTTTTCGAACTTCCAGAAGATAATTGCCGCGAAGCGTCCAGGAGAAATGAAACAAGTATTTAACATTTCCCAATAGCATACAGTTCGCAGAAGAGGGTGCATACGTGGCTCGAGCGTCGGCTGTATTGACAGATGTAGATGCAACTTCACAGAAACATGTGTGTTAACGTCATGGAATGATAAAGAACACTCCTGGCATGCGTACCTTACTACAGCGAATATTGTTGAGCAGTATGGTACAAAATAGAGTAATGAGTAGCCGCCAACAGGTACTATTAGGAAGTAATATGTTGTACGATTACCCAAAGATGGTGCGATTCTCCTTTTATAATATAAATATTAATGATAGATGTGAAGTAGTAATACTTAATTTATTACACAATTCCGATGTATACCGAAAAGTGCTTTATATGCAAGTAGTTTTTTTCTGCATCAAAAGTTCTTAGCAGCAGTTATTTGAAATTCCAAGGCAATACCAAATACATTGAAGCAAATTGTCATGGCTTTTGGGACAGGCGATACAAATAAAATAAAAAATGGCTCAAATTCTTTACAATATACATTCTCATAAGTAAATCTTTTCTTTAATGCTGGTTTTCCGGAAACCCACTATTTTCTGAAAGCTTATGTCACAAGTAGAAAAACTAAAATCTTGTATTTAGAATTTAGAGAGACAAGCATTTAGAAGCTATAGGACCCACAAAAGTATTGGTAAAATGTTGGAAACACGATACCAAATGCTCGTATCACGTATTTATATGAACTAATAATATGGTAAGAATGTGGAGATCTCAATATAAAGGAAAAAAAAAAAAACTCGTTGAAAAGAAACAATATAAATTGAAAAGTTGAAAATGTGACTTCAAACAAAACTTATCACAAGAGACAATGTGCAATTAATAAAATAAACATTGAGACGGGCAGAAAGACAGTTAACATTGAGCACATTTCACAAAAGCGATAGCCTCACACGTTGCACACTCATCATTTGTCAGTGAATCCAAGCAGTAACCTATCGGCGCAATCCACATTTCAGGTTCGTCCTCCAAGTACCCGCCCTTATAAAAAGCATACTTAATCAAGTTCTTGAAACGTTCCCGCTGTAAACCAGAATATGCAACCAAAGCATCAAAGCATCTTGAAACGATGAGCGCTGATCTGATATAGTGCAAAGTCTGCAGAGCTAGAAAAACCTATCGCTATGCCAAATGCGCTCCTTCTCGATAATGATCGTGTCCATTATGGAACGAACAAAAGATTTGTAGTGTCTGAAGAAATGAATATCTAGAGCTGGATCATTTCGGTATATCCTTCAAATACCTGTTCTTTTTGTAGTACTTTACCATCAGGTACTTCGGAAGCAGACAATGCATGAACATACAGGAAACAGATGTCATTACAGGAAATATGTCCGTCTATACAAACTTTAATGATACTTTGCGGGTCCTATAGCTCCTAAACTCTCGTCTCTCTGCCCCTAAGACTTCACAGATTTTCTACTTGTGAGATAAGCTTTCAGAAAGTATATTAGTTTCTGGAAAAAAAAACCGGTATCAAAGGAGAAAAGATTTACTTGTCAGATTCCAGAACGCGTGCAGTATCACACTCGTTTACGACAGAATGCCTCGTACCTCAGAGATACATTAAGGTTGCTATTGCAGGCGCCGATTTACTTGCCTTGTTCTGGTTTTTGCAGGTGTTTTCGAACTATAAACCTATGCGAACTATGTACCAATTAGTTTGTTGACATGCTTGAGCATTTCTTCACATGGAAGTTCAAGGGCGATTTTGGTGGGCAGTTAAGTTGCTTTTAGTTAAAAACCCCTCGTTTCTACACTGCTGTATTTGAATATGTAATAGCATTTTAATACGCAAGATGCTAACATTGAATATTTTACATAAATTTACACATTTTCTAACCATATCGTTACTCATGTTTATGCTTGTAGAAAATAGAATTCACCCAGTACCTGAAATAGTGCTTCAATAGTTGCAATTAATATCAAACGTTCCAGTAGCGTAATTAAAATTACGTGAGTAATTTTACATGAAATTTACTACTTCACGTGAGCCTAAAATTGAGAACATCTTTTCACTGGTTTCAAAATTTTTCGACTCTAATAAAAAATTTCCTGTGTTCCAACATTCGTTCCTTCTCTGATTTGGTTTAATTATGGCAAAGCACTCAAGCGCTATCTGCCTAAGGGGAAGATGCCTCCGTGGAGGATTTTCTAAGGGAAACAGGTTCGTATACACATAACACATGGAGAAAACCACGAAAATGCTCATGGAACCAGATCGTTCTCCAGGATTAGTGGCCCGGACCGAACTACCAGTGTTCAGCAACTTTACTACTCACCCGCTTGTGGGCGCGTTACTCTTCTGGAAACTAGGTTATGTTACGTTATGATTAGGACAAACCAACTTGAGGGTTATCTGTCTAACCGCAAACCTTAGCGGAAGAATTTTAAGGGAAACTAGGATAGTCATCTGTTATCGGGAGCAGATTCAGAAATGTATGTATGCTTGTATACGAGTACTTATGTATGTGTATGTATATACACACTCCTATATGTACATACATGCCCAAGTGCATACATACATGCATGCATTTCTGAATCCGGTTCCGATAATAGAAGAGTACCAAAGCTGGTTCGCATCTATTCTGTAACAAATAGGCAAACCCAAGAAAACTCGGATACAGCCATACTGTTCGCTGGGATTCGAAACTGGGTGGAACTAACAGTGTTCAGTGATTTTATCGCTCGACTGCTGGTGGAACTTTCTTTTTTTGTGTGTTTCTATTGTAAGTTAGAATTGAAATTTATTGTATCATAAGATATTAAGCTTGATATGCAGGGATAAAATTCTTATACAAGTTGATTAAAAATTACGATGTTGCACCGACTCTATAGGACACGGAATTCCGTAAATTACAAGCTAAAGTTATTTAACTATAATTGTGATTTAACATTTTTTAACATATTCTATGTTGTAATTTTGAGCCACTTAAAATTTCAGCCAAAGGAAATCTTCCCATTCTATCTAGGTATGAAAGATTTTCTTCTATCTATATTAGCGCATATATCTTGAATAGCTTGATGACTGCATTATCTGGCTTTGAAAACAGATTTAAATTTCTCCATCATTCGAATAATAAGTTTCCGAATTTCAATATACTATTTTTTCTGTTCTGGAGTTCATGATGTAGTTTAACGTTTAACGCTGGAATTTCGAGCGATAAAACATTTACGCAAAATGATTTAAAAAACAGTTTTGTAAAGTTCTTTGCCTAATTATATGGTATCGAGTTCTGTAGCTTTGACATACATGATAAATAATTTGAATATAACAAAGACTAATAATAGTTTAATACATGTCCTAGAGGTCTATTGGTGAATCTTTACATTACGGTAACTTGGCGATTTTTTGGCGAACATTTGGCGACCAACCCTGCTACAGCAACCTGCTAGTTTTGTTTTGGACGCCATTTTGTTTTCACGAAGTAAAGGCATTTTTTTTTAACTCAACATTTTTTCCAACAATCTGCTAGCCGAATTACGCTTATACTAGAACTTTTATGGAACAAAAATGCTTAGTCATGACGAAGATTAGGTGCGAAATTGGGAGAATCGCAAACTGCTTGCCGCGTTTTTAAGAATTGCACATACACGGTATCATCCATGTACACGTCGATCTATTTTGACTTAAAAACATCCCAGAATTGCACAAAAATGGCATTGAGCACACTCTTGACTTTATGTACACATCGACCTATTTTCACTTAAAAAGTCAAAGAAAATTGACAAAAATCTAATTCATCTTACTCTTGTAAAAAGCGCAAAACAAATAAGTGGGCGATTCTGCACTTTAGCAGCGAAATTGTTTCTAAGTGCTTATTAGCTAAAATCACGATCGGAATTTTTCGGAAAATGTCACATTACATGTCTCATGATCTCTCATTTCTCGGAGACAAAATAATCTGTGATTCGAACTGTGTACTTCTCAGATTATTGCTTAAAGTCCTAGCTAGTAAACCTTTATTAGCCTTACCAAAATGTCGCCAAACTACCTGTTCCATATTCTAAAGATTAGCCGGTCTATTTTATTAAATATATTCAATTCAAATAATTTAAAATATTTCCTTCATATCTTTAAATTAGAAAGTGAATATACTTTGGGAGCTAATTTATGATATAAAGACAAGTTACAGCCACGTATAACATCAAGGTGATACATATAACCAGGAAAAACGCTTAAGCGATATTTGCGAGAATCTTGACTCACTTTCCCCTGCATAAAACCAGAAGCTACACTAAATAGTAACAGGAAACAAATCCTCATTTATGCACATTCAGGCAAATAACTTTCACATTTTACTCAAATGAATCATAGGAGCCATTACATAAAATTAAATATTGAAAAATCATATTTGAAAAAGCGAGGGGAAGAGTATTAGCGACTATCTTTTAAACAAAAACATTAAATCAAAGATTTAAAGAAATAGATTTAGCATTCACTAACCGCATAATTAACTGAAATCGTGTTTAACATGTTTTTTGTACAGAGAAACATTCCAAGCATTTGGCAATAAAAGGAAAAAGGATTAACTCTTAGCAGACGTACACTTCCAAAAGGTTTGGCAGATTTCCTTCCTGGCAATGCATTCATAACTGGGATAAAACTCAGAATGCAGTTACCGAGCGTTGCGGACCGGTTGCACAAGAGGATTTGACGGGTTCGTCGGAGAGAGATGTCTCTTCTGAATGACAATGCGCCTGCGATAGAGTTGGAGTTATGGTGCAGTTTCTAGTCAAAAATCGTGTGTTAGTTCTTGACAGTCTTCCACATTCACTCCATTTGTCGCCGAGTGACATTTTATTCCCGAAAATAAAACTTCATATGAACGATCAACGCTATCAGAACGTAACCAACATTCCAATCACAGTGACTCGCAAGTTGAATAACACCCCAAATACAGACTTTTTTAGAGTTTCATACGGTAGCGTGAATGTTGTCTGCATTGTACGCAGGTGGGAAAAGACTTTGTAGAACACACGAAGCAATAAAACCTTCACCTTAGGTTCCCTAGTTTTCATTAAACGCGTCGAAACGTGTTTGGACAGATGATGGAAGAGAAATATTTAATGTGAAATTTAAATTAGACTTAATTATTCGCCCAATAGCGGCCGAGCGGTAAAAGCCGCTGAACACTGGTAGTTCATTTCGGGCCTCGAGTTCCGGCGAACAGGCTGACTACATGGGCGTTTTCGAGGTTTTATCGATGTGTAACGTGGATACCAGCCAGTTTCGCTTATAAAGGCCTCCATGGGCACCCCTCCCTTTCCGGGTAGTGCCTAAAGATGGAACACGTAATAAGTAAAAAAAAAGACAATTATTCCGATAAGTTTAGTGTAGGATGAACTCGACTTTTAAGTAATAATTTAAGCATCATGAATGAATACAATTTAAACCTCCATTCTACTTTTTAAATTCTTCTTGGCATTTCAGAGATTTAACGTAATACTCAGATATAAATGATCAACAATATAATAACGTAGTGTTACGCAGTACTCGTAACTAATCATGACAGTAATCAGGTTTAAGTGCTCCTCTGTGGTTTGCTATTCGATCCATTAGCGTAATTGGTGTTTAATGTCAACAATGTCGTCCTTGCTTTATGAAATTTTATAGAAGTTCGAATCTTTCCCAGGAAGACAAAATGCATTTTAAAAATTATTTTAAGGAATGCCAATTTAAAAATCAAATTAACAGTTTCGCAAAATTTCTCATGAAAAATGAAAATAACCAGAGCGTCAAGAATAAAAGCGAAGTATTCAGAAATTATTCCAATACTATTTCTCGTTCTCAAGTTTAAGACGCCACATGACACAAGAATAAACTAAGATAAGCAAAGTTTGAAACATTAAATTCATATTTTTATAGTTTAAATATTTGATGAAAACCATGAGTTCAAGAAAAAAAGTTGTTAATTGTGAAACATATATACAAAATGCATACATATACAAAATAAATACATAGAACCAAACTGCTTTACAAATTCACTAAAAATAAGGTGTATAAGATATTACCTTAAGATGAGTTACTGTCTTAAATTCCTAAAATGCACGTCGAGGCAAACCATACATTCTGGAAGTGTTAGTATTTAAAAGAAGAGAAGTTAAACACACTGACGCCAAAATAAAACCTCGAAATTAGAGAAATTGCATATAAAGTAGCCGAGAGGTAAAAAAATTATAAAATTCATTGTAACATGTTATAATTAAAAAAAATGTAGACACTTTTTCTTAATTTCATTAAAAAAGTTAGTATTCCTACTGATTAATTTGCATGTAAAGGAGCACAGATTTTATTTTCCACCTTGCTTGTTTAAAGTGTAGTAAATAAAGATATCTTTAAGTATTTTCTGATACCAACACTACACTTTTATGTCAAAATAAAAATATATGGTTGAGATTTCTTAACATATTTAACCTCACCCTTATCTTCTCTGATACAAACTTCTTGATACAAACTGGTAGTTGTGAATAAAGCTGAAACACATATTGAAATATACTCGTAGAACTGTATCACGCAAAAGTGTATTGTATTTTATTACCGGATGAACAAAAAGTAACAAAAAAAGTAAAAATCCAGTAATTCGATAAGTATGACTAATAGCCTGAAGCGGTTTTCGCAGAAGTGTGAAGATACGGAATTCCATTTTAATAACGAACACTTTTTTTTGGTCGAATAGTTACATTTTTGCTTCGTAGGTGTATAGTAGCCGATAGACGTTACTGGTCGTGATGAAAGACGTTATTCTTCATCATATAATAGGAATTAGAGCTGAACACTCTTAAATGCTATGCAGAATTCATACCATGTCTGAGGGACAATCTTGTGAATGATGGCCACTACACACTCTTTTAATTTGCAATCTTAACTATGTTCCGAATTATGCCGCAGCACTATATGACCTTTTGATGCAGATACAGAATGGTTAAAGTAAGGATGGCACCTGTTTATTCAAGCAGGCATCATATTAGGCATCGCAGGGCCTTGCTACAACTTTTGACATAACTGAATTAGCACTTGTCGGTGAATAGTATAACTATTCTGGCCATAAAATCTCTTTTTATTTTTCATTAAAAGAAACTCATCTCTTTCTGTAAATTTTGGTGAAAATCGCATCGTGTTACCACCTGCATTTTTCGAATAACTGAATTTTTACTTTTTTTAATACTTTTTCAGCCGGTATTTATTACACTATCAATCAACTGTTACCTAAGTTGAATGTAACTGTACTGGTCACCTTCATCTTAAAAAGACGTATCCCATAAAATGACTGTAACGGGCCTAAGAGGTAGGCCGAGTCCCTCTACCCCCGAAAATAAAATGGGGCAGTTCTATATTCTCGCTCTACTTGATCAGTTGACGAAATTGAACTTGCAATTTTCATGTTTCAAAAGTGCGACTTAAGATGTACATTAAATTTATATATAACCTTGTTGTAACATACGATTTTTGACGCAAAGTTTGTCTGTTTATGAAATGATACTCCAAATTTGTTTCAATATTTAGATTTTATGACTTAAATTATGCCTAAATCCCAAACTCAATAAAGTTTGATGACGAAATTCGGAGTAGAATATTAATTATCGCCGTTTCTTCACTTTTGGCCAAAAATTCCCTTGGCAAACTTCTCAGTTTGTATTAAGCTGTCCACTTTAACTTATATTTTGCACCTACGAAAAAAAAACAGGGCATCATTTATTACTTTTTGCAAATATTTTTAATTCGTGTTATATACTACTTTAATCACAGCTGTTATTTATATGTATGCATTTTTAGAATTTTCTATTAAGTATTTCAGTTGCGTGGTTGAATTACATTTCTTCAAATAATTGTTCTAAAATTTTCTATTCATTCACTTGGATTAGGTACTTCAAGTATATTTATTCATAAATGCTTTTTGGAATCCGATTTTATTTATTTGAATTGCATTTCCAAAAGAATACTTTGCGACGCAGTATAGGCGACGATGCATTTGAAAACTGCACATATTAAAAAAAAATACAGTAAAGCACGGCTAATATGTCTTTCAATGAGCATTCGGAAAGGCTATATTAATCAGAAATACGTATGATATTTTAAATTTATAATGACATGCTCACTCACAGTTTTCTTCTGCTTTACGCAGTTCCTCCTTGTGCCATTGGTTCACACAATATTATTCTACTTTTAATTTATTAACGTATTATCATTATTCAAAGGGTTTCACTTGTTAAAAAAAAAAAAAAAAAAAAAAAAAAAAAAAATAAGATTAAAAAAAATAGCATAAGATTAAAAAAAAAAAAACATACAACTATATGCATTCCTTCCAAAAAAGTCTTCTTAATGGCCTTGATAATATCTTAATTTTTTCCCTCCTTAATGCCTTACTTAATGAAAGATAAAGATCTCATACTTTGTCGAATGGTGATACTCTGAGATACAATACGCGATATCTCATGGAAAATAGAATGAAGACATTACGTTTCTTTTGCCTTTTGATAATACTTGAAAGGGCGCACAGTAGTACAAAATGTGCGTAATAACCTAATTCAAATTTATTTAGAAGATGTCACTGAGGATTTTTCATTTTACTTTATCCTGTATGTAGAGGAAATTTTGGACAATCTCTACTACTTATTGAGTGATTCACTTCACTTAGGATGCAATTAAATTTGCCAGTCATTTTTTTAAATATAGTAGTCTTAGGATCGATGAAGGCTAGAACCCTTTACACACTTCGTAGAATTTTTGGACTCAGTATGAATACACCGGGTTTCGCCTTGACATAATGCATTTTGACTTTCAAGTGCAAGTGAGTTGTAACATTATAAATTTCATAGCTTCATACGATTTACATAACTCATAGAAAAAGTTGGAGAGATTTATTAAATTTCAACCATTTTAAGAGTGAAATTGATTTATTTTTAGAAGTGGGATTCGTTTTGATTTAAGGTCCTCTTTTAATTCGTCAACGGGGATATCCTGGGAGAGTTTTCTGACAAGCTTTCATAGTTTCATCATTACTTACGTCAAAATTATTAAAGATTACTTTTCCTTCATAACTTTATCTTAAACATTTCTGAATTCGTCTACATAGAAGAATTTGATATTCAATTTTACTCCGAAAAATTTTTGTTTCAAATTTATTAACTCTAAGAAACGCGATTTTCTTTTTCTGGAGAGTAATCCAATGAGTGTTCGTTTCGGATGCTACAAGTGAAGGAATTTTTCTTGAATAATTCTTTCACTTGTGAAAACGATTTCATGTTGATCCATTTCTTGAATGAATTAAGCATTTGATTTTTCATCAACTTCCAGGAAAGCAAGTTTTATTTTTTTAATCTCATCTGGAACTCAAGGATTTCCTCAACGATATTTCTTGATATTTGAATTTTGAGTCTCTCTTGAGTTATCCTGTGCAATTACTTAACTGTTTGCTAGCAACTTTGTATTGATGTGCCGTATTCTAGTTGTTACCTGGAACCATAAAGACAGCCAGACGACTTTCGCCCCATCTTAAACCTATGAGTAAAGTTACTCTAATACAGAACGAAATTTATGATAAACCTTTTTATGTAATCCCCTAACTTATAGTTGCACAATTTGCGTAATAACAGGAACACTCTCCACAGTTTTAGAAAAAGCAAAATAAATGTTAAAGTAAAATCCAGATGTTAAATTGTAAGTTAAAGCGCTCCTACAAAATTTTGCTCAGGCCCTCCACTCTTCGTGAACGACTTCAACTGGCAAATCTAAAACGGATTCAAGTAATTCAGATGCTAAGGAAACTAATAGCAACACGGTCAGCAATAGCTTACAAGAAGTCACTCTTGCACCCAAGATCTCTGTGCTTAAATACTTTTTTTTTTACTAATTTTCAACAGTGATACTATTATTTAATTGTCAAAGACATTAATACAAGTAAATATTCGAGTTATTTTTAGGTACTTTTTTGTTGTACGGAGACACAAAGAAACTTTTTTCAAGCATGTGGTAACGTGCCTAAGATAGCAACAGTGTGATCAGCTGAAACATCTCGGTTTTAGGAGTAAAATTGAGCCTAATTTTCCTCTGTTATGGTTTGCTAGCCTTTTTTAGAACTACGTGAAACTTACCTTAATAGATGATTTTCTTCGTATATCTTATTTCATTCATTGCTTTTTTTATAAAAAAATAAACGAAAATAGGTTTCACAATCTAGGAGTTACCTAAAGATGAGGAGGAGGCAGTGAAACTCCTACAGGATAAACGAATTCTTCATCGGGGAATATTTTGTAAGAATAATTTAAAATGATGTTGTGTTTTACCACTTACTATACAATAAATTGGCGCTGCAACCTTAGATCTTGTCGAGAAAAATAGGTGCCAGATCTCATACTTGGTTTGAAAGATCGCGCCTACTTTCCCTACAGCTGTAAAAATTTACCTAGTCTTAGTGCCATGAACTGACCTCTGTTCAGTTTTGTAATATGCAACTGAAAATGAACCACAATGAAGTTCATCGACTGGAACAATTATATGCGAGAGGTTTAATGGCCACGCCTTGTTATGTAGATATGAGGTCAAAACTGGTGGAAACGACAGATTAATAGAGGTTGACGAAAGTCTTTTCACGAGAAGAAAGAGTAACGTTATACAGTTTCTTCTTCTATAGTGGATTTTTTTTTAGGTCTTTGTGGAGGAACAATTCTTATAGATGATCTGGATCGTTCAGTTAAAACTTTACTTTGGAGCGATTGAAACAATTGTCGCAGATGGTACTATACGTTTTCTGAATGTTGAAAAGAATACAAAACAAATGATTTGAAAGAACTAAGATATGATCATCTCACAGTTAATACAGATACAATTTCGTAAACTCAAATATTGGATGTCATACACAAACAGTTGAAAGAATGTGGGGCAGTGAAAATGGGGTATTAAATGCCAACGTGCCATTCACTATCTTGAATCTTAGAATTTATGTAGCTGCTGTAAAGTTATGAAGTCTTTCTGAAGCAAGAGTAGTGAAAATTGAGTAATGTTTTAGCCGGGAATCGAACCTGAACCTCTCAAATACGTGCCGAGTGTGCTACCGTTACAATATGAAGGAATGCTGGAAGGAGGGAGAAAATATTTTCTTCATCATACGAGCTAGTCTTTCGCCTTTTACCTTATATACACCCCCTTTTAAAGGCGACTGGGGATCAGGGGACCCAATCGCCAAATCCTGGTGGCGACGAATTATCGTCCATCTCCCTTTACTTCGGGCGCCACTGTAGAGTCATTAGGATTTTTGAAGTTGGAACACGAAAAATTAGCAATGCTGTGGGCAGGATTCCAACCTGGATCTCTCGAATACGCGCCGAGTATGCTACCGTTACATCACGAGGATATGTTGGAAGGAGGGAGAAAATATCTTGTACTACGATTACATTAAAAAAAAAAAGGAAATTTTTCCCAAAATGTGGCAAGATATCTCTAAATTCATATCCTCTGTTCAAATATAATTTGCATTACATTTTATAACTTATTAAACTGTCGAAATAATAATAAAAAAAATTGTTTTTTCGTGTCGCCTATATAACAGTTTTTTTTTTTTTTTTTTGTTTGTTTACGCTGCATCAACGCTTTTTGAATACCGGGAAATCAATTAATCATGTCTATAGCGGAAAACCCAAAACCGTTCCTGAAGAAATCAAATGAAAAGCTGTCAATCTAAGTTGTAGATAACAAGTACGCGACTTATATCATATACCTATGCTGTAAGTAATTAGTAAGCATATATCTTTAACTAATATACACAAAGCAAATATTAAATCGCAAAATAAAATATCGCTAAAAATTAGTAATAGTTGCAGTTTTACCCTGAGATACTTTTGCCAAATTTTTAGCCCAGAAGGGCTATTAGTCTCAAAATGGCATTTACTTAAAGAAATTAAATAAGGAAAAATCTGCATGAATGTATGTATGTTTCGTATATAGTGAAAAAAATTGACGATATCTAGAGCCATCAAACTGTGAATAATGTAATCCTCCACCCGAACATGGGCATATGGAATCCCGAATTTTGAATTTCGAATTTGTTTTATTATCTATTTCATATATTGCAAAACTAAGAACTAAGTCGAATTTGTTAATCAAAGAATTTTCTATTGACAAATTCAACTATTTCAAAGCGAGCAATGGCAACACTGTACTGGAAAAAGCATTTTTATCTCAATCGCGCGAGTCTGTCAGTCGGAAATTCCAAACATATGCTATTTTTAAACATTTTTTAATATTGCTGTTGAATTGAATTTTATGCGGTTTAAGTGTGAAGAACATGATATTTAATAAATAAAGGTAACATACTAAACGTTAAATAAAGTCCTTTTGGGCGTAATATAAAATCTGAAAGCTTTCGGATTTTATATAGTATATCTATTCAATAATTTGCTTTAGCACTGTTTTCTTATAATTTGATAATATATCAATGACTAGCTTTGAAATAGCTAAATACAAGTATTAGTAGTTTAATCGTTTTATCTAATACTTAACTATTCATAACATATAATAACCATAGAAGTAGTAATACTAATAGATGGAACACATTAAGCTCTCCAAACACATTTTTGATTCCAATAAATATCTGTGGAATCAGCCATTACAGCAGTAATAAGTACTTTGATATGTGTTTAATCTGTAAATTATGCTGCTTGTAGTATAATTAATTACACTCATGTCCATAAATTAAGGATAATGCAAAATCAGGCAAAGGAAGAGTTAGAAGCAAAACAAATTAGATTTATTTGTAAAGCTTATTTATTAAACAAAAGGTAAAGAGTAAAAAAAGATGCTATATGTTTGATATTATTAAAAAAATTAGCGATTTTTTCTCCCTGGAGCAAATTACAAAAAAAAAAAAAAAAAAAAAAAAAAAAAAAAAAAAAAAAACCACCTATTTACAAAAAACCAATATTACATGGTTTGTATGATTGTTAATACATTGTATGTCTCCCAGACGATGCAATACAGTTCGTACAACGCCTAGGCATGCTGAGTATCAAATTATCGATCTGATCTTGGGGGGATATTACATCACTCAGAAAGCAATGCCCTCCGAAGTTCCGGTAGACATGTAGGAGGAGGTTGACGGGCTGCAACTCGTCGGCCAAGCATGTCCCACACGTGCTCTACTGGATTCAAATCCGGTGAAAATGCTGGCCAGTCCATACGGGTGATGTCCTCCGATTGAACGCATTCGCTTACGATGTTTGCACGGTGATTACGGGCGTTGTCATCCATAAACACAAATTGTGCACCCATGGCGCCCCGAAACAAACGTACATGTTGTTCCAGAATGACGTCCCGATAGATTTGGCTTGTCATGGTTCCAATTTGAACATGCAGGTCAGTTCTGGAACCCAGAATAATTCCACCCCAAACGAGCACTCCTGCACCACCATAACGGTGTCGTTCAATGATGTTTTCTTGAGAGTAACGGGTACCTGATGCTCTCCATATGAAAGTCGGGCGAGAATCAGACTGCAAGCTAAACCTGGACTCGTCGGAAAACATCACACAAGCCCACTGTTGAGGTGTCCACAATGCATGCTCTCTACTCCAGGATAACCACAGGCGACAGTGAGTTGCAGTAAGTGGAACGCATCTGACAGGTCTACGAGCATATAGACCAATCTGCCCTAAGCGTCTGTACGGTCTGCCTTGCAATTGTCGTACCAGTGGCTGAAGAGAGCTGACGAGACAGGTCTGAGGCTGTGCTCCACCTGTTTCTTTTGGCAGTAACTGCCAAATACCAGTCCTCATTCGGTGTTGTAACTTTGGGGCGACCTGTGCTGTAACGTCTACTCACATTACCATCATCTTGGAATCGTTGCCAAAGCCTGGAGAGGACACTCTGGGCAATTCCAAGTTCGTCTGATACTTCCAATTGGGTACGCCCACATTCCAGACGGCCGATAATTCTACCACGTAAAAAATTATCCAAATGCGTCCTTTGTGTCATAACTATTCGGTTGTTGCACTGAAATGCTTATAAAGCGCCTGCGAACAATTTTACTTCTTTGCCTGTATTCCTTATATATCACTCTCTTACACTCTCGTCATTGTGACGTACCATCGGTGTTATCTGGTTACTTCCTGAAATTTGCTTATGATTCTTGAAGATGTGTGTAGTGATTTTACAGGTGATATATTTATTTTAGAGTTCGATTTCGTCGTGACTCCGAATTATCCTTAATTTATATACATGAGTGTATTTTGAGTTATTACACATGAAACAGTGAGACACGACTTTAGTTTCTATTTTTATTATTTTTTTCCGCGTTGAAGTCTTGCGTTGCTTACAATTGTACACACTACTTTTAAAAAGAAAACGGAATAATTTTTCATAAAAAAATTATCATGAGCAAGAATTTCATAAGTGATAATTTAATAATTTAAGAAAAGTATTAAGGATATTTTACACCTTTTCCCCTCTTTTAGAGTCAAATATTAAAAAACTTCACGAATATTATGCTGGATATATCAATATTTTAAATATGTATGCACATGTAAAATTAGTAAATTGAAATAAATGGACACTTTCTAATTACCTCCTGCTCAGTTTCAACATTTGGTAGAACTGCTCTGTTTTTGATGTATTTTTGAGTGAACATAGTACATATTTAAATTAGGGGTTTCAGAAATTGGAGTTAAGGAGTAATTGAGTTACTTTCTGTCTTCACTCCATGGTGTACAAATGACAACAAACAACCCCACATTTGCTTGCTGTACACGCACCTTAATGCATGTGCATTTGCATACTTTATATTTAACTGAACAGTATCTACCGCTATAAAAATATAAATATTCGGCATAGAGTTTTTTATTTTTTTCGCATAAAGTTTCTTTTCTTTTAAATTTTTTAAAAATATTATTATTATTTATGAACAAAATAAAAATCATACGACGTAAAGACAGCTTAACAAAGATTTCTCACCGATTCATAAAGTCACCAATGAGGTGAAAACTTCTCATTGGAGGGTGCAAATAAATCCGAAAGTGCCAGTAAAATATTTATTAATCATTAGTATTGTATATCTTTACCGTATTTCGATAATTTTAACCGTGTAATATAAAATTATGTCTTAAAAAAAAGCACTCGTGGTGTCATTGATACTCAAATTTGAAACAAGAATATTTAGTGCGAATTAGTGCCATTTACTATAATTGCCAATGGGTTTTTTTGTTTTCTTTCCTATTCTCATGGCTGTTGCCCGCTTTCTGGCTGAAAAGTGGATTTATTGCGAAATGCGCGATCTGTTATTATTACTATATCTATGACAAAAATACATAAATATAATAATCCTCCTTTTTAAACTTTCGTACCAATTATACATCTACTGCTGCAGTTGCAGTTATCCCTGACAAACAAACCTGCTTTTTCATTTTTCCCATTCCCCACATTTATCAAGAATGTTGTACTACGTAATGTTGCATGAATACGCAATGTTGGGTAATATTGCACTACGCCGTTCTGCCGCAAGAATTTTCTCGCGCAAACTTCAATTGATTGAAACATTTCACGAGGATGAAGGAAATGATCTGATTTAATATTATTATTTACATTCTCTTACTTGAAATGCATTTCATCTACCATGATAGCATTTCTAGGAAATTATTAAGTAAATTAAAAAATTATAACTACCTTTCCAAAACGAAGAATCATTTGATTTTGAAACGCTGCAGGAAACGAACTTGCATTGAATTTTGGTATAAACGTAAACTTGCTTTGTGGAGAGGATTTATTTTTAATTAATGTAGCAGATGTATTCAGAAATTCTGCATTTGAAATAAATCAGTGAGAAACTTGTTGTATTAAAATCCATGACTTAAAAAATGAAAATTAATAGGATCTTACATGTACTTTTATCTATCGAAACATATCTGTATCTTCAAAATTCATTATTCAATATTTTGGGAGTAAGCGCTTTCTAATATTACAAAAAGTAACGAAAATTACTCAGACTCATCTAATTTCACTATACAGAGCTCAAAATCAACTTCTGTAACACGAAGCCTCACCAAAAAAAAAAAAAAATATATATATATATATATATATAAAAAAAAAAAAAAAAAAAAAAAAAAAAAAAAAAAAAAAAACTATGCAGCGCTCAAGATCCATATCTAGAGCACGAATCCTTGATGACGAAGAAATATCTCCGCCTACTCCATCTGTATACTTTACACCGCCAGGTTCAAGATGTGGCTTGCTGCTTCATAATACTGTCGAAGAAGCCACGACGCACTCCTCTTTTGCCAGATCAAGACGTAAGTTGAAACAATTCTTTTGTAGTGATAACAGCAAAATAACGTTCAAACATTCAGAAACAGAATGCGATCAATGTTTCTTTGGGTGCCGCTAAGTATCGAACGGGAGGGATGCCTTTGGGAGAAACATTCTAAGGGAAAGTGGTTGGTATTCTTGTTACATATGGGAAAACATAAAAGTATCCAAATGTCCTTGTTGGGTGGGATTCGAACCCGAATCGAATTACCATTATTCATTAAAACATATCAACTGGGCCACTTCTGAGTTAAAATTTACACTCATGTTCAAAATTATGTTTACATGCGTAAATTCACGGATTTCTCAGAGAGTATGACTTATAATTTAATGAATTTTCGTGGAATCATACATAGCATGATGACACATAAATGCAAAAGAAAAAAATTGAAGATCACCTCATATGATATAAAATTGTAGCATGAAACAATAAAAATGATAATAAAGTGTGACAAAGAGAGTTAAGAAAAAAAGGAATGATTCAGAAAAAGAATTAAGTCTTACGAATTTAATATGGAATATGATCTCCCCTGACTTGTGCACACATATCACAACGTGTTTTAAGGCTGGAAATAGTGTTGTTACCACAGTTTGGGGAATTAATCTCCACTCTTCCAGCAATGCCGTCTTCAGAGCATTTACATCTCTAGGAGGAGGATGTATAAGTGCAATTGCTCTTCCAAGGTAGTCCCATAAGTTCTCTATCGGGTTAAGGTCAGGAGAGTTTGGTGGCCAAGGTATTCGCTTAATGTCTTCACTTTCAAGGAATTCATCAACGAGGTTTGCTCGATGTGGACGGGCATTATCATCCATAAATAAAACGTCAGGTCCATATGCAGCCCTGAAATGTCTTACATAAGGATCTAAGACCTCATCCCGATATATCTGGCCTGTCACAGATCCGCTGCTGAACACGTGTAGGGGCGTACGTCCATCGATCATTATTCCACCCCATACCATCACACCTCCACTACCGAAACGGTCACGTTCCACAATGTTCGAGGGATCATTTCGTGTTCCTGACTCCCTCCAGATGAAAACACGTTTAGAATCACCAGTTAAACTAAACCGCGACTCATCAGTAAAGAGAACATGGGACCATTGATGTTCAGTCCAGTTTTGATGTTCTTTACACCAATTAAAGCGATCCCTCTTTTTCTGTGAAGACAGTAAAACACATACCCTTGGTTTTCTGGCATAAAGGCCTTTTTCATTAAGCCTTCTGTATATTCTTTGCCGTGATGCAACAGTTCCAGTAGCGGCTGCAAGCTCTGAACTTAACTGGCGAACAGTAGCCTTTCTGTTACGACGGGCAGTTAATGCCAGATACCGATCTTCAGAAGCAGTTGTTATTCGTTTCCGACCTTGTCCAGGCCTCCTTACAACACTTCCATCATTTTGAAACTGTTTCTATAGCTTAGAGACTGTCTGTCTTGAAATATTCAGACATGTGGCTGTTTCCATGATTGACTGCCCAGCTTCTAAACGGCCGATAATTCGACACTTTACAGATTCTTCCAAATGATACTTCGAAGCCATAACAAACCGCTTTGAGTCCCTACAGACTGAAATCAAAGGCTATGTTGCAGAAATTCATTCAAATATTCAGTTTGCGCAAAGCGCTTGATTCACCCTTGGATGACGTAACGCCTATATTTGCATATCACAAACCGTTTGATTACTTTTGATTGGATAATGCTAATTAGGCTTGGTTTTCACACATTCCCTGCAAAATACGGATCACATTGATTCGATATTTCATTGAATATCATCATTTTTGGGTATGTAAAGATAATTTTGGACATGAGTGTAGTTGTAAGTAGAGTCAGGTTTAAGTCTAATAAGTATAGCTGTCATTGTATTATAATTACAATTATAACTGCATTAATTATAGTTTTGACTAGAAAGTAATTACACTGTAATTACCGACTGTGCTCAATCCATGAAATACTGCTTAATCTCAAATATAAATTAAAAATCTTATGCTTTGCCTAGTGGTAAAATTCTAAGAAGTAGCTATGCTCAAGGGCACGTAGAAGATAAATTAAAGTCTTATGTTTCGTCCAGTGGCAATATTTGCCGAGGCCTGCTTAAAGATTATTTCCGTTCTTCTCTTCCTTCAGTTTCAGAATCATGATCGTGTCTGCACTTTTATTTGTCGAAGAAAAAGTTTGGTAATCATGTAGTATGCAATCTACCGCTTTTAGTCATGTATTAATTTTTAGATGGCGAAACTAACATTGACTGCTGTTTTAATCATTTCTTCCCCCCATTTGATCTTCTGCTCGAATTTAAAAATAGCTTTTAAGTGGCTCTCTCTAAAATTTAATTATAACTGCATTACGATAACAGTTAATATAATTACAATGCTAGTTACAACTACCGCTATAATTATATTGTTGTTGTAATTATAACATAATTAAATTAATTATAAATACAACTGTAATTGGACTAATTATAATTACAGTTACATTACTGCGATCACACTATCTACAAATACAATTATATTGTAATATTGAATTTTATTATAATTATACAATTATAGCTGAAGTTACATTGTAAATTTAGCCGCAATTACATTGTATTTATACTATTAATCAATTACCTTGTAAATGATAAATCCCCAACTCTGATGCTAACTCACTAAGTAAACTCGTAACTTTTAGGTTCTTTGAAAAAAAAAAGTGAAATGTTTAGTGAAAGTCTAGTGTTAGTCTTTGTTTAGTGAAATGCCTTTTGAATATATTAATATTAGCTGAAGGAATTTTAGCTTTATAACAGAAATAAAATAATTTAATAACTGTCATAAATTGTAAAATCTTTTAGAAACCAAGAACTTCAATTTCTACGAAACTATTGTCTTGTTTAGAAGTATTTCGCGACATAATAATCCGAACATGTATAGAATTAACGTCTATATAGAGGCCCGATGTTCTGTAGCTTCTTATAGTGACCTCTCGCTTTCTTTGAGAAATAGGACGTTATAATGAACTATCACTGTAATGGAAATGGATTTAATTTAATTTAATCAGCTACAACCGTTATAAAGGAAAGTTGTAACAATTGGTCGTTGTAACAGAATGTTTTCTACAATGAGCAGCTGTTTTAAGGAAATTTGTATGTAGTAAATCCATGCTTATAGTGATAAGACAGTTGAAAAGGGACCATATCCAGTTACTTGATAATGGATAGCTCTGCAATTTTATTATTTTATCAATTGTTGATGGGTAATTTATATGCACTTCTGCTCTGTTCACAAATATTCCATTCTTACCATTTTTAATGCTATTGTCAAAGAATGTTTTCATACCTGTCTTCTATAGTGGTCTTTACAATGAAATTATACTGTACTGTATTTTACAATGAAAAAAGGCTATTATGACCTAACGGAATTACGAATAGCCAGCCAGATTATAAGGTATATCTAACACTTTCCTAGCATCCTTCGTGGTGTAACCGTAGCACGCTGGGCCGGTATTTCCAGAGTTCCGTGGTTCGATTCCCGGCGAAGGCGGTTGCATATGTTTCATCTTTTCTGCTTCCAATTAACCTAATGACTCTACAAGTGGCGCCCGAACTAAAAACGGTGTTGTGGATGATGATTCTCCGCACCCAGGAATTTGGCTACTAGGTCCCCTAAAACCCTAGTCGCCCTTTAGAAAGGGGAGTATATAAGGTATTTCTCCCACTTCCCTAGTGTGCCTTCGTGGTGTAGTGGTTCTGCCCACTGAGTGGGTATTTCAGAGGTCCGTTGTTCGATTCCCGGCGAAGGCGGTTGCATATTTTTCATCTCTCTGGCTTCCAAGAAATCCTAATGAATCTACAAGATCATTAACCGTTTGTTTCTAGCCCATCCGCACATCGTTGTTTCTCGCTCATGCGCAGTTCTATAACCCTACGTATCGATGTAGAAACGTTTTACTGGCTATCCTTTTGGGCCCAATTTCAGAAAATTCATAAAGATGAGGAGCTCGAAGAATGTGATAAATGTCTTTACCTTCTGTAGTCAATGTTGCCGAATATAAGAGGTTATGAGTTAATTGAAAGCTCTCTGTTAACGTCAGAAAATTATGAGAAAGTTTTCAGTGGTTTAAAAGAAAGATTTAGGAAAACGAACTTATTGACAGAAATTTATGTCAGAGACGTGCTAAAATTGATTATTTCTAATGTTCGCTCACAAGGAAAAAAATCGCCGACATTTTGTAAAAATTATTCGATAAACCGAGTCCCACCCAGAGGGCTTTAATGTCCATCAGTTTGGATCAAGGTTGAAATGCGGCTTGGTTATTACTGGGTCATTCCTTTCAGCAGACATTCTTCGTACGTGGAAGCGAAGCCCTCTCTTTAGTCGATGATAAAAAGAAATTGCGCCTTCTTCATTTGTTGGAAATTTTAAAGAGTGAAGTATTAAGGTCGTACAGAAATAAATGACACAAATGTTGCCGCAGAGCGGAATACAAATTATTGACAAAAAAAAAAAAAAAAAAAAAAAAAAAACTGATAGTACAACAGTTAGAAATAATCCCCGCCCACGTCAATACAATTCTACCATCTGGATGGGAGGTCCCGAAGAGCTTTGGTAAACCAATCTGTGGGGGTGTTGATGCACCACCTATGAACAATTGCATGCAGTTCGGCAGAGGATTCAACATTATGGCCCACTGATTGCGTCCTTCATCTTGTCAAGCAAGGCGTAGTCCAAGGTCTTGGTTCGAGGCCTGAGGTTCATCCCCTTTGTACACAAGGCTAAAGAAAGAGAGCACTGACATTTGCTACTGTATGCGATGTTAGTGGTCGTCCCCCACTAACACCTTTGGATGCAGTCTCCACTCCACTGCTGAATTTGGCCAATCAACGGGATACGGTACTCCTTGAGGGTGCTTTGTTCCCGCACTCCGACACCATGCGACGATAAATCTCACTAATCTGTATTCCTTCCTTCCATAGGAACCACGCTGTCCAGCGCTGACCGTAATAGCCACCTTCGATCCGGTATTTAAACAATGTCTTGACGATGGAGTGACAGGGAAAATATCTGAAAATTAAATACATAGAGAAATGTTATTACTTGCCTCTTCACCCTACCTTAAACCCACAAAGTACCATAACCAAAATTAGGCTTGTGTTTGATGTTTCTAGCAAAACTGTTCTCGCCCATCTATTAATGATTGCTTGTTTAAAACACCCTAATCTTATCGAGCCAATACCGGAAATTTTCTTGCGATTCAGAGAAAAGGTGACTGACATGTCTTCGGATATAAGACGTGAATTCCTGCAATAGAATTAAAGAGAGAAGACCGAGATGTTTTTTTTTTAATTCTTATAGTGGAAGAATGATACAATTGATATATTTCGTCAAAATAGATTAGTTTTTAGAGTTACGTGCAGCCCATTTTTGTTGGGAGTAGTAATTTCTTATCATCTCTCTCATGTCTCATAAGAATATAAACCAGTTGCAGACAAGTCAATGAAATCTTTTTATATAAATAACTCTGTAGCCTAGGTAGAAAACTGTCCTGAATTAACCGAATTTGTAATAATATCTGCTAAAATATTGGATGATGTGAAAATGGATTCGCCGAATGTGGCGTTGTGATACTTTTCATGATATAGGTAAAAATCCTACTTTCACATATCATAGCGAAGAAAAAATGAGCACCTATGTTTTCTTGGTCATAAAGGGGACCGTGTTGATGATACCTTTACAGTATATTCTACAGATGAGTTTAAATTAGAGAATATATCAAAGCGACAAACTCTTTCTTTGACTCAAAAAAATATTTGATCCCTTTGGAATTTTATCACCTGTATTGCTGCCTGCAAAGTTGTTAGTTCAACAAACTTGGAATAAAAAGTCTGATTGGGGTGTGCTTTTGCCTTTGAAAATTCAACATAAATACTTCCAATAGTATAATGAACTTAGAGCACTTTCTGAAATTATAGTATCTAGTAGAGTAGGATATAGATCTCCAATAAATTGGACAATGCAAAATTTTTGTGACGCAAGTTCAGAAGCACACAAAGTGATTTTTCTACTTTGCAACAATCATGGTGAAATTAGTGTGAGATTTTTAGAATCCAAATCTCGAACTTCACCTTTGGAAAGAGAAACTATCCTTCGAGATACATTGAAGCTTTGAATTTGACGATGAATAACATAAAGTTTTGGTCAGATTTGACTACAGCAATTTATTGAATCATTACAAATGACATATAGGGAACTTTCGTAGGAAATCAAGTTAAGGAAATCCTAACATTAATCGAACCCTCCCAATGGTAGCATATTTCAGGGAAGTGAATCCTGCAGATTTAACTTCTCGAGGTTTCACCCTAGGACAGTTTGTACATAGCAAATGGTGGGAGGGACCAGAGTGCCTGAGAAGACTTGAAGAGAGATGGCCGAACGACGAAATCATCCAGATGCAAAGGAAATTTCTTCTAAGAGAAAGATGAATATATTAGTAAACACAGGTGCAAATATTGAATCTTACAAATGGTACGAGAAATTTTCTAGATTTTCAAGAATTGTTAGAGTTCTCACCCGGATGAGAAGATTTATGAAACATTCTCCAGAAGAGAGTGGTTTGTAAAGACCGTCTTCTATCATCTTGTGAAATTCAGAAAGCGAAAGACATCTTTTATTTAATTTTTCAATGAGAATGTTTCCCTGATACTGCCTTTTCTAATAATCTGGTTACACTATCAGGTTCAATGTTCCGTCTTACTTTCTTTGGGAACATGCACAGACCTGACTCGGAACAGGGAGCTTACTAAAGCTATGTTCAATAAATGTGGGAAGTAGACAGGATACACAGGAAGGGTATACAAAACCCTTTATTTTTCACTCTTTACAATAATTTCCGTACTTCGGAATACAGAGACCAACTACTTGTGGTCTGAACGTAAGAATATAAAATATAACTAAACTCTAACTTAACTTTGGAATAATAAACGTGGAAGATTGGCCTTATATTGACAGGAAGCCGTATGTAGTACAGAGAACTGTTAACACTACAATACGTTTAAAATTATCGAGAGGATTAACCTCTGGCCTGGAAGGCAACCAGCAACCGAGTAAAACTTCTAAGGCAAGCGGCCTGCTTCGACTAACTCCTTCTCTCTCGCTTGGCAAAAAGCCACAACTTAAGTACTTGGCGTTCGCCAGACAAATTTTGCATAAATAAGTTAACGCTTTTAATTCTGGCCGGAAGTAGAAAATAAGAAGTGATAGTAAAGATTTAAAATAAAATAAACGTTAGTAAAACATAAGATCCTTACAACACTTGGAGATAAAAATAATCTTATTACAGTTTAAACTAAAATAACAGAAAAAGGTGATCAATTTTCATTCAGATATCCTATCCTACTTCCATTAAAACATCATATGGTTGACTATCTAGTAATGAAAAGGAAGTAATTTTCGCATGGGATTTCAAACTCTTATGACTATTTTAAGACAGGAATTTTGGATTATATTGTCCAGACTTACTATTCGGAATATTACCAGAAAATATATCAAATTTAAGAGATTCCCTTCAAAGGCTCTTGCCACTCTATCCATTCAGTTGCCTTCCGACAGGGTTAAGAAGGCTTTAACCTTTGAAATTACGGGAATAGATATGTGTGGACAATGCCTCGAAATAAAATTAAAGCATGGGTGGTCCTTTTTACATGTGAAGTGCATAATGCTGTCCACTTAGAGCTCGTTACATCTTTTAGTACTGAAACTTTTGTTGAAGCCCTGAGGATATTTATTACCAGAAGAGGCCGTCCATCAGTGATATATACGGGCAAACCAATTTTACGGCCACATTTTCAGCATCGAGAAAAATAAAGAGGAAGACGTGATCACACATGAAACATTACAGTGGTAGTGGAAATGGAGCGATTGATTCGAACCACCAAAAACTTGTCATTTAGTGTTTTGGAAATTCGTTGGTCAACTATGAGCAATTGTTAGCTATCCTCTGCGATATCAAAGCAGTCATTAACATTTGTCCTCTTATTTAGGTCTCAGATGACACACAAGACCTCATTCCCCTCATTCACACAAAGTATAACTATCAAAAATGCTTTTAGGTACCAAATTCAAACTTTATATGGAAAATAAATATTTGGCACATCAGCTGTTTTGAGATCGCACATTCGGCTTGCATGCAATATGAGTCTGAGACCACTGAGCATACTGTCTTTTTGTTCTTCTTACTAAACCCTCTGATCTGTATCAGATCAGATCCATATGTTCATTTGCCTTCATGACTCCCAACACCAAATTAGGTCTCTTCAGCAGATCTTCAAGCACAAAGGCAACACAACTAAGATGTTGAGCAGTGGCTTTTTAGTTTTTACATTTACAAATTGGAAATGTTTTTGTACCATGGGAAAATCTAAGTGTCCTTAAATGTCCTTAAAGTCAACACATCCAGAGCCGTTTGGTTCTCCCTGTCACCTTTGAAACCAAGTCCTTGTCCTCTTGATCATGTAGCATATTGTAAATTTATTATAGTATCATTAATATTATTATGGTACGTCAATGAAACCGTAATGGCCTTATATAATTTTATTTGGATAGAAATGGATTACGTTTTATTTCACCCAGATATTGAAACCAAATTCTGCATGGCGAAAACATGTAAGTCAGCGTAACGCAATTCACCAGTCTAAAATTTCGGAACAATTCCTATAAGGATTTTCTGGTGTCAAAAGCTATCCAAATTTGACTGCCGAATTTGACGCAGTCTTTTTTATTAAACGTAAAACTTTTTCTAGGCTATGGTTTTCTGTTGAAAAGTATGCACTGTTAAAATATTTATGAGTGCTTCCCTTAAAATACCGGATTCGATAAAATACAGGATCTATTAGTGTTCAGATTCTTGGAAACCTGCGTAATGAAGTTAAAAGCATCTGATTCTGGGTGTTTGGAAACCAATTATAAATCAATTTCCTGTATCCAAAAATTTGTGTTTAACGGATGATTTATTTCTTAGTTTAGCAATGGCCTTATTTAGCACTTTACTCGATTTCCTGCTCTTAAACAACACGGAATCATTTCGCACTTGGCTAACAGATACCTGTCCTACTCAGTTTTTTTATTTCATGAAATTCAAAATCATTAGTACTAATAGGCAGCCACCCTGTTTAACATGATATTTAGCAGTGTTGACTGCCATGTCGCTGGACGCCAGGATTGAACGCCAGCGTAGAAATAGGTTTTCGTAGCTGCCATGCTTCCGCTCTTGCAGCTGCAGTATCGAATCTACCTCATGTGACACAACCGGGGCAATGTTCTTGGAGATTTGAAATGACCAATGGATACTATGAATCCGAACTGATATATACCGAGCAAGTTTCCGGGCAGTGGAGAAAAAAGTGCAAACCATACTTTATGCACTTTTTAAAACCACGCGTTATACACTACAATTACTACATGTACAGTTTTTTATATCGTCTGTTGAAGATTAAGCTAAAATATCAAAATTCCTTGCATTTCGGAATGGAAGAGGGAATATTTCAGGTATGTGCATGTTAAATCCAGTGTTATTATTACCTTATTTGGCTTTCATTTAATATCTTATGGTACGTAATTTTCAGATTCAACTGTACCGAATGTACGATGAAAATCATATTACAGATGTTATTTACTACCACTAGCATTAGATCCTAGAACACTTATTAATTGAAGATGCGAGATCACCATTGCTACTAAATGGAAATTTGAATTCTTGCGTTCTTCAAATAAGTAATGTTTTCTAGTGAATGACATTTTTTATACTGCAGGTCTTATAGAAGCCAGCAGAGGAAATAGCAAAATTCCTGTTTTTAATCGCAAAGCCAACTACAACCCTTACACTGAAAAGAAAATCCCCATCTCTTCTATACAGCACGAAAGTCACAAAAGTGAAAGAATCCGGTGGCAAGGTGGCCATAGAGAATATCCCGGAAAAAAGACCATGAATGGTTATTATGTAAATATGAGATTCAAAAGCACTTTTACAGCTTTTGGCGAAAAGAGATATTGTGGTACAATGATTGAAAAAGAGATGCATATCTGTTGGATGAGATGTTCTAGATTAGAGCTGGACAAAGACGGAGAAATCTTCAAATACTTCTTAGGGTGAGTATTGCGATATCGAAATTTACTAGAGTTAGGGGGAAAGTAAATACAGAAAGCTACCGATTCATAATATAATCTAGCTATTTATTGCTAAAACTTTTGCTGTGCATTTTCCTTCAGAAGGGGAGGAAATATCTTAAAACGCTGTCAATCTATCGGAAACATCTTCCAATTTCGCAAGCAATAGTTCCGTCCAAGAGCAGCAAGTTTGACCTCATCCTTTTCGTTTAGGAAAATATTGAACTGTCTTCCGCACGCACAATGCTATCAATTCACATTAATTTGAAATCGGATAGTTACAAATTTTTTTCTACTGCAGTTTGAACAGAATCTGAATGCTCGAAAATTTCATTTTGGGGTGGGGGGGGAACTAATAAATTCGTTAATCCGAAATGACTGTGTTACGACATCGGACAAATCAAAAAGCTTTTCTTATATCGTTTAAAATATACAAGGGTTCGATATAATGTAGTAACAACATACTGATAGCTCTAAAAAGACTTTATTATCATAAGTACGAACATTTATAACTCTCTCAATATCACCGCAGCTTAAGTCTACCACCTTCTGCCAAATTATTAGAAGATGTCTTACGCTATTAGCACAGCCATTTCTGTTAAGGCCTCACGTTGACAGCCCTAAAGTACGCATAACCTTTTCTTTACTATTGTAATAGATCCTCTTAATGATTCTTTCCTTTTGCTGAAGAGATCATAGTCTCACATACGCCAGTATGGCGGATGTTTCAGTGCCTCTCAATGTCATTGCAGGAGATTAGTGATAGCCTTCGCATTATGACACCAAACGTTACCATGGAAGATTATGCGATAACCAACAAGAAAAGTCACTTTCTCCGGAGTACCAGACACAGATGATAGTTCCTGTAAGCATATTTTACAAGTGCACATCAGCGTAGCCACTGAGGGGTTTCGAAAAATGGACCAATGGGCTTCTATTGCTTGTTTTATTGACTTTGTTTCCCAGAAATACGGCGTAATAGTAGCAGTAGTACTTTCTGTTATGTTTAATTTTGCTTTGTTTCCCGTTATCATTTATTTGGATTGATGGTCACGGCTATTAGCTTTACATGAAGAAAATGACTCAGACTTCGGGATAAATAGAATGGGCAATTGCTTTTTTTTTTTTTTTTTTTTTTTTTTTTTTTTTTTTTTTTATTGAGCTAAAGAGGACTGAAAGTGTTTGCTGAGTATTTCTTGTGTAACAGTATATTTAAGAGTGAGCTTTTTTAAATGTGAAATTTTAACACACTAAACAATACAAATGCAATTTAAAGTCACTTTGAATTTTGCATTGGCTACTACTATAAACATCTTTTTCATGTGATTGCATAAAAGTGCTGACTTCTATTTTGTTATAATGGTGTAAATATTTTCTCATATGCATAGTTTTTCTGTAAAGAAGCGTTTGGGATCAAGAAAAATTCAAATCAATTAGTTTCACTTTGAATAAAATTCTGCATTGGCTACTACTATAGAACATCTTTTTTCATGTAGATTGCAATAAAAGTGCTGACTTCTATTTACAATATAATTGGTGTAAATATTTTTCTCATATGCGTTAGTTTTGTAAAGATAGCGTTTGGGATCAGATGTTCATCACATTACTTTCTTCATTATTTACCTTTTATTAAGTAATATTTCAGATGGATATTTTTGGAGTGTCCAATATGTGTTTGTATTTATTTCAAATTCTTTCAAGCAGATAGTGAAATCTTCACAATTGTTTATATTTGATCTAAATTCGCAATGAAGACTTTCAAAAGAAATCGACGTTGCTTTAATTATTTTGTGCAGAAAATTGCGTGGCAAAATATTTTCAACCATCTTGCTTAAATCTTAAAGCACGTGAAAGGTCATGTGACGTGACAGAAATATTACTGTATGCCCATTGGTCCAGCCTAGAAGCCACTCCCTCGATGGGTACACAGATGTGCACTTGTGAAATATGCTTCCGGTAACTAATTTCACCATCACCCATAACGGTGTAGTGTCATAATGCGAGGGCTGTAATAGATCGCCTTTGGCGATGGCGATGGGAGATACTAGAATTCTGCCCTATTCACCAGAAATGAGTCCTGTTTACCTAAATGAAAGAAACCAAACCGAAAAATTCATCATGACATTACACAAGAGAGAAGGATATTTGGGCATTTTAGGACGGTCGCTGTGGAGCATCAATAGTACGCGTACTGATGTACGACAGTAATTTTCAGAAGGTGTTAGACATGTGAGGCGATTATTTTGAAAGGCTGTAAGTGCTTATGCTTATGATAATAAAGTCTATTCAAAACTATCGACGGTTTGCTACTTTTTTATATTTAACCCTTGTAGTTTGTAAGATTTTCACTAGTGTAATTCTCAGTTACTGTAGAAAGTGACGAATCTTAAGAACTAGTTGGCGAATAATCGCTTAAGTTCGTGTGACGAGAAACAAGAAGATGGAAGGGTAACTAACCCTTTATTATTCCAATAAGATTTAACAAAACTCCGTCTTGGAGTGTACAATCAAAGCCGACACTAGGGCTTGAACTTAAGAGACTAAGAATTAAACTAAGATTAACTAAAATATAGCGGAAGCTAACAAGTTTCTAATGCAGTTGTCCCCTTAACTCTATTTGACTACGAAGCTTATCAGGGGCTTGAGTACGGCCGAGCGTAATAACAGCTTTGAGAGAGAGGAACTTAAAATTTAACTGTTAATAAAATTAACATAATCCTTATAAGTTTTATATTTGCTTTTGTTTTCTAATCAACTTCAGTACACCACTGTTTTTGATCAGATGCTGTACTTCTATCGCAGTCTACTTTTTGCGTTTTGATGTGCTTTAATTGATTACGGTGATCATGTGAGGACTATTTACCTACGAAAAGAAATGCCTTCGTGGAAGATTTTCTAAAGGAAACTGACTCATATTAAGTTACATATAGGGAAACCTACAAACATGCTCTTGTAGCTAGTAAGTTCATTAAAATACGAACCTCGGTCAAACTACTTGTTTTCAGCACACTTAGCCACAAGGCTAAGTTTATTGGTAGGCTTTATTTAAGATAAGATTATCAACATTTATCTGCGATATTAGCTTACAGTATCACTAAATATCTTTCGGAAACGACTCTGCATGGGAAAATATCAGATCATTTCGAACAAATACAAATTTCCATCATAACATTCAACAACAGCTGCTTGTTTAATTTGCATCTAAAAGCGAAGAAAATGTAAATGAATTCAGTTTGGGTAATCCGCTCTAGCACCCGAAAATTATCGTAACTACTTTGATATGACGATGCATGATACCAGCTGTTTCGTAACAAAGACTTTTGCTTGTTGGCCTTAATCAAACAAAGCTCTACACCAACGGTTCCCAAACTGTGGTAGGCGTAGCCTGGGTGTACTCGATGGCCTAGTCAAGGATACGCAAAAAATAAATACCAGCAATGGCAGAAAATAAAGAAGTGCTATAAAAATGACTGTTCATTCTGAAAACGGAATTTGTAACACGAAATCATTCATAATAATTATTACTTCTATGGTACTTCAAATTAAAACAAAATTCTAAAATGTTTCTGATTCAAAAAATCATAAAAAATGTTTTACAATTCATATAGTTATTGGTTATATTCACAACAGCAGAACGTATAATGATTTCTTAATTCATTATTTATTTTTAAAAGGTAATTACATTTCTAAGAAAAGGAATGACAGAATAGTTAAATTTCTAAACAGAAAAGCAAACAAGAGCCCACTATAATCTATTACTTTCAAATAGGCACTTCAGCCGTCATAGCCATCCTTTCCTCACTTATGATCGTAATGTGTGTCCTCATCACCGCGTAAAGGAAATTAAGGGATTTTAGAAAATTAAGAAGGTATGACTTTTTTCTGCAGAGTCTGAGAGATTACTGTGGTTATAGGGCAGGGTTCCGGGAAGGAATGGTCTTGAAATACCTATTCTAAAGTAACAGACTATAACATGAAGCGAGTTATAAGTGTATAAAATTGCATCAGATATGAGGATGGTGAAGTTTCTGCAAGAAAAATACAGCTTGTAGTATTTATTTATTTATTTATTGAAGGGAGAAATTTTTGTTTACTGGGTATTAATTTAAAGCACGAACTTTCATTGTTTGAAAAGATTCATCGATACGTTTTGAATTTCTTTGACTTTTTGGAGAAAACATTCGAAATTTCCTGATATTTTTTAATAAAACTTATATTTTCCCTGATAAATTTTTATTTCCATTTTTGGGATTATTTTACTTTTCCAGTAGTTATTTTTAATTTTGGAACCCTTTCCTTTAAATTCTCGTTTTTAACTACAACTCCCTGCAAGAATCAGAGTTCAGCATCGCTTTTTGTGTAAATGAAGCAAAATTAGTATTTAATGGGAAGTTCAGTTACTTCCGTAGAAGATCTCAGAAGTTTTCAGTAGAGCATGTTCTGCCTTCGGGCCACGTCGTTGCTGTAAGGCTATCTTACTACGATCAGCCGTGGTCTTATATGCCGATTAGTATTCGCCGGTGAGGTTTAATTATGGACCAACTCGGTTAGTTATTTTTGTATAGCTTCTGCTAAAGTTTAGCTAGTTAGAATTAGTTCCTTATATTCTATCTCAAGTTAAAGCCCAAGTGGAGGCGCTTCTGTAAGCCCTAGAAGGAGCCGTCTGTGAGTGCTTCTTCGAGTGAATAAAAGGGCATTTTAACCCATTGTTGTAAAAAGACCAGCGAATAATCGCTAAACACTTCACTAAAGTTCTACTAACCAAGGACAGGTAAATTAACTAGAACTTTGTACGACTTCCTTTGAGTTGACTTTCGTGGTGAACCATATACGGTCAACTTAAATGATGTTCTCCTCATGTTAAAATAATTGTATGTCTAGAGGACTTTATAAAAGTATCTAGCTTTTATTCACTTCAAAAATACTCAGAAAAGGTCTATATGTTACTAATAATGGTTGGCTGTTGCTCATTTTAGTTGCACTTAGTAGGAAATACAAAAGTCCATGCATAAAACTGGCTTAGGTACAATAAGGCATCTAAATTCTACCTCTGTGTTACATTGTGTTACATTCTGTCTTATTAATTTCCTTCAACTGGTCTGTAAATGTGATATTTTTCTAACACATGAACGGAATTCTTTAAATGAAATGATTTCTCTTTCAGACGCAAAAGAGCCTTAAATTTTGAGGAATATAAACAGTTTCTTGAAGAGCTTTGCGACATATATGAATTGGACTATTCTGAAATTATTAAAACAATGGCGTTTATTCGAATGCCTTCCAGTAAGTACTCATTTATTTCTCTTGGCATAACTAATTTTGTTCTGGACCATTTTAGGAAAGATGTAAAGAGACATTTGCAATATGTGTTCCAGTACGCTGAACTGATGGAAAAGGCTAAGATTTTGTGCACGAATTATAGCAAAGGTAGAATATTTAGATATGGGAGCTACTTTATCCGCTTTCCTCGTTTCTGGGATATTTATTTTTTGTTGTCACCCTATTATTTTAATAAAACTGAGGAATAAACATCAGTTGGGTCAAGAAAATTTTCTTAGAAACCACACTAGTGGTTATATATACATTCACTAAATAATGAGGCCTTATTGAGCTTAAAACTAAGTTAAATAAAATATTTTCCTACGCGTTAAGGGTTAATGTACCACATTCATCTCAAAACTTATCTTTTCTTACTTGTTTTCCTTTGTTCCACAAAACAACGTTATCAGGCAAACTCCTCTTATAATCCAATCAGTAATTCCACAACCTTTAGATCAGCGGATAGTTTCAGTTGCCTGTCTTCGCGAGGTAGACCTTGAAGTTTATCATTAGTTTCTTAGGTTCACAGCGCAGTCTTCAAGAATATATATACAAAGTGCTTGTGAAATATGTGGCAAAAATATAAAGACAGACAAAAATGGCCGAAACAAGCAGATTTTGTAAGGAAATATCTGTACCAAATTAGTACGTTGAGTTAATACAGGGTGTTGTTGAGCCGAGATAAAAGCTTTCACTTGGCGTAAATTGTCATTCTCTTTGCGGATTTCGAGCGATATGCATCGCGGTTAATACGAAGCAGCTAATACAAAGAAGTGCAAGGAAAAATTCTCATGTAGCTGCTTGGAGCAGCTGTTCGTTCTTCATCTAAAGCTCTACAGATAAAATGGATGTCGGAGAGCTATAAACGTTTCGAAAACCATACTGGGAATGATAATTCCCGCCAGCAGAGCTCTATTATCTTACCATTTAGTAGTGCCTTGTATCACCTCAATGCAGCATTTGGAACCACACGTTAAATTATAAAATTTGTTTATATAAGTCACTTCTATCTGCATTTATATTTTTGCCAGGCATTTTTGGAGCATCCTGTACATCCATACACACACACACACACATACACACACCAAAAGAAGAAAAAAGGAAACCCTTCTCCGGTATATGAAACCCTAGCTACCTATCCGCTCAACCAATTGAAATGAAACTTAATATATTATTACTAGAAAGTATACTCTTGCGATTGCGATGATTTAAAGAGCCATTCACACTTGATACTCAGCAACAACACCGGGATCGTGCACTTGCGATCTTCACAAAATATGAAGCTCAGTTTAGCACTTTCAAACCTAAGCAAGACTCTTACAATTAAGATTGTCATCCGTAGATTAACTGATGGTTCTGGTGTAAATGACATCAAAAAAGGACTTTCTGATGAAGGTTACTCTGTAAAATTTATCAGGAAAAGCTTTTGCTGAACTTGAAGGTTACTGTCAGAAGATTTAGAACCAGCAAACATTTTATGATTTGTTTCCGCTGCCAAAGATATGGACACGGACAACTCTTCTGCAACAATTCTCCGAATTGACTCAAGAGTGGAAAAAACCATCTTACTTGTAATTTGAAGAAAGAAAATAAACCGACTTGTCTCAGAGGATAACAAAGTCATGTATCTTCATTTAAAGGTTGCGAATTTTATCCTAAAATTCGAAATTTAAATCCTAAAGATAAACCTGCTCCTGAGCGGACTTAATCCTGCCAAGAAGGCTTCTAAATATAGGAAAGCATTCTCATGACGCTATGCTTCTGCGCATATCTCAACACTTCCCGACTAGTTTTCTATTTCACCTTCCAAGACAGATTTTTCTGTTGGAAATTTGGTATATAGATTTGCTGACTTCTTCAGTAAATTTCTGGAATTTATTGCCAAGTATAAGAAACTGAAATCTCCAGAAAAGAGACAACAGTTAGCACTATGTTTAGTAGAAACTTTTCTTTAGTCTGGAACTTTTAAGATTTTTTAACTACTTGAAATTTATAATTTAAAATTTCAACATTTAAAAAATATATCGGAAATAAAATTTTGAAATTTTCATAGATTTTTCGAATTGCATTTTATTTTTTATGTATCATCTTTGAATTAGCAAACATTCTAAATACAAGAATTTTCGAAACTTCATGGAACAAAATTGAAGAAGGTACAAAACGAATTGTTAAAACTGATTATACATAACGAATTGACTTAATTTTCGCCTTTTAGAGCTTGCTGTTAAATTACACTCGTACTCACGAGGGGGAAGGTTGCATCGTCAATTGCAAACAGACAATAAAAGTTGGCATAAAACGAAATCCCGCAGTCATACCAGAATTCCGCAGTCTTGCCAGAATTATGCGTCAATTCGCAGGCAGCGATACTTGCGTGTCATCTGAAATAGCCAAAGCGGAAAGCGTGAGCCGAAGACATTATTTACACGATGAAATGCGTTGGAGTGCTGTCGCTATGTTGCAAGCTGGTGCAAGGCAATCGACTGTTGCAAGAGAGGTGAATGCGCATTGTAATAGCATTAATGGTGGAATCGTTACCAAACGTGTTAAAAACCGTGGGTCTGGACCAACGACTTCATATATCTCGGTATATATCTTGTTGGTCTAGACGCCGGCCGGCAGACGATCGCTTCCTGTTGCTAAATGTAAGGCGCCGTAGATCACAGCTGACGTCGCATCTCTCTGCTGCTGCGACACACAACTCATATCCAGCCAAACTGTGTCTCGTCTACTACATGAATATAGGCAGTACGCCCGACGACCTGTGGTTTGTGTTTATTTGTCCCCATCGCATGTCAGAGCGCGGTTGAATTGGACCCGTGAAAGTCGCAGTTGAACACCAGAGCAGTGGAGCCACGTACTGCTCGTCGATTTAACATCCATAACGATTCCCGAAGGGCAATATTGCAAGAGCCGGGGACACGCTATAGGGTGCCAAACATTGTCAAAAGAGACCATTACAGAGACGGAGGCTTACATGTATGGGCTGGGATAGCAACGAACTACCTCTAAATGATTCCTGGTTGTTCCGTCACAGCTGTCCGTTATCACGATTCTACACCCTCTTGTGCATCCTTTTAACGCTGCAATGATTACTAACTCAATATTTATGGACAATAACGCCCACCTACATTGAGCTCGAGTGGTGCGAAATTATCCTGAGAGTGAAACCACTCCCCATCTGCAGTGGCCTGCTAGATTACCAGACCTGAATCCCATAGAGCATGTACGAGACATGTTGGAGTTGCATAGCAAAAATATGCGTATTTTACTGATTAATGGGTCAGTCTTGAATAACAAAAGTGATCATCATTAACTTTATAGTTAGCCTCTAAAAGTGTATCTCTTTATTAACATCTCCATGAATAAATAACCCGTTAAGCTAATGATCAATATAACATTTATTCCTATATATGATTATTTTGTATACGAGATGTGTGCCTGAGGTTTACTGTAATATAAATACGGTTTGAATAATGCGGTTTCAAATATTTATTTTTATTTTCAGCCAAAAAATGGAAGTAGGCTCAAGTTCCTTTTCTACTCAAAGCTTTGCAACACAAAGAATTTTTTAAAAGTTTGCTCGGACATCTTAAAGCTGAAAACAAGTGCAGAAAATCGAGCCCAAAAATGTATTGTTAACCGAATCCAAACACCTAACATTGAGGATTGAAATGATGCTTTGATTCATTACGATGTTGGTTATGCAAATCTATTATCATAAAAATCATTTTAATAAAATAAATTTTAAATCCGATTTTATTCTTTACTTCAGTGGTTATGATAATTGTTTTGAAATTAATAAATATTTTTATTATATATACACATTATACAGTAAAAAGATATTTTCCTTTAAAGTTACCAAATGAAATTGATAAAATATTGCTTACTTAACATAATAGAGGTTTCATAGACCGAAATGCGAAGAAAATACAGAGCCTCAAACCAATCCTTTGGTACTAAATCTGAGCTGGAATAAAAATTACCGGGAATCTTTAAAAGAAGATTAATATTTGATGCTTTTTCTCTTTTATCCCATTAGCTAGAAAGAATCAGTTAATTTCTAAATATTGTAGGCGTTTAATTTTTAAGTAACGTGCAATTCCCAAAAAGTATACAATACTTAAATGATATAAATTATAATTAATTTGAAACTTTGACTGAAACCAAATACGTAATTTAATAAATTCCAAATGAAACCAAAACCATGTATCTACACTAAAAATATGCATCTATACTGCTGGCCATTAAAATTGCAACACCATGAAGGAAAGCAAATACAGAAAGATATTTTATGTACGTAAAACAGTATGGCATAAAGACAAAATGATTAAACTTGAAAGCAGTTTGGGGGTTTACAGGGGTGCAAAATTAGTAGAAAGAGCTGCGACCCCTGGCAGCTAAAACGGTTTCTTCCGGTTAGGCATGGAGCCGAACTGGGCTTGGATGACAAAAATGGGCAACTCATTCCATGCTGCTTCAAGTCTATGGCGCACTTTATCAGTCGTATTAGCTGGAGAGGGGTGGCTGGCCAGTCTCTCAGCAATCATTGACCAGATGTTTTCAATGGGTGACAGATCTGGAGACCGTGCAGACCAGGGCAGCAATACAATATTCTGTGTATCGAGGAAGGTCGAAACAAGATGTGCAACATGTGGTCTTGATTTATCTTGTTGGAAGATGGCGTTTGGCAGGCCTCGAAGATAGAGCACAAGCACTGGACTGAAGATGTCACAAATGTACCGATTTGCGTTCGAATCACCGTCGATCCGAACTAGAGATGTGCGTGTCGTGTACCCAATGGCTACCCACACCATCACACCAGGTGCAGGGCCTCTATGCCGATATCCAATGCAAGCCGGCGAAGTAATGGTCACCGTGCTGAGAGTCCACGCTGCTGAAAACATCGACGCATAAAACATAATTTTCATGAAGCATTTTGGAAAAATACACAAAAAAAAAGTTACGAGCGGATACTGCGCGTGCTACAAACATGCCCATTTCCTGATTAATGGTCCGTGATGCAGTCGTACGGTTTTGCAGGCTGACCTCATAATATATCTGCCCTCTTTGGTGTGATTCATGGGAGGGCGTTGAGATCCTGCATATCGTTCAGTACGACCCTGAGCAACCCATTTATTCCAAATTCGCATGACAGTGGTTGGGTGTCGACCAGTGCGAAAGGGCAATATTACGGAACGATAATCCACACTGTCGATAGGCAAGGATCCTGCCTCTATCGAATTCCGGCATTTATTGATAAGCATTTCTTCTTATTATTCGAGGCATAACAAGGTAGTCTGACCTAACTCCGACCTTACAAAACGCTTTCCAAATGATAACTTCACTACACAACTTTTCTCTTGTGCAGTGCTGCAGATGTCGTTTCTCCCTCCTGCTTCGTCTAAATGCGTTGAAATACTAATAATAGCATATCCCAACCTCTTCGTCCTTTCATATGATTTTGACATTCCTCAGATCATTCCTATCTGGTGTTGTAATCTTAATGACCAGCAGTGTAAATAAATGAATACAAATATGCAATTAATTATTTTATTCAGAATATCTCCGTAAATGTAATTATATCATTGTTACCATGCCAAAACATAAATCTCAAATATACATAGATAAGATGGAAGTTTTTCCAAGGAAAGATGATAAGTCTTTTGCATGTATCTCTATAATATAGAAAATACATTTAGATCCGTCTGGTCCAACCCGCCTTCCGTGGGCCGCATGTTGCCCTCTTATACCTTTTTGTTGCATTTGCCCTTCCTACTAGAAAAAAAAATATATATTAATTAAACATTTGGAAAAAATCATATATCCTTCTTATTTGCTTAGTGGTATTGTTTCAGATTCTCTTGAAAGATAAGGAAAAAATTTTAAGAAATTAAAATCCCGCTGGAAGACTGGAGAAAGGAGGAAGATTTAGTTTTGTTGAAAAGTCCAAAGCTATTTTATTTCCACGAGGTGATAGGATGGTTAAGCATTCAAGGATTACCTTAAATAGCAACCAATTAGTTTCGCTACTCGTAATGGATCACCTTGGCATGACTTTTAATAATTTTCATGAAGCATTTTGGAAAAATACACAAAAAAAGTTTATTTTATTCTTAATTACTTTGGAATTTGGAATAATTGCTTAGAAATTTTAGTCCTGAAACTCTCGCCATAAAGAGTGACACTCTGGGGAAGATTATGGCCAGTTATTTTTCTGATTACATTGAATATGGAATAGCCACTGAAAATCTTATTTATTTCGCGAATGATCTTCATAAAATCTACAAAAGATACAGAGATGTTATTTGTTAAATTTTTTTGACCATTTCAGTTTTTTGTTTTTGTTTTATCTGTTCAGTTAAGAGGTAGTTAGTAATGAAGTCTGGTCATTTTATTAATGGTTTCATTAGAATTACCTGAAGCTTTTGTGCTCGAGATCATTCTAATGAGTCGAGCTTTTATGCTCATTCAAATACAGCAGCTTTTCTATACTATTCAATGTAAAAATTTTGCAGTGTCACTTATCGGTCAATAGATTGTGAAATGGCCACTAGTAATAGCTCGACGAGTCAATTACAACCTTGACTGTCATTATGCCAAAACACTTGATAGCGTCCAGAAGGGGTGTTAATTAGGTGTCGCAGGGTGAGGTCACATGAGAGTTCGCTCTTCTCCGGAAAGAGGGAATTTACCACCGAAGGAAGGGAGGTCCCCGAACCATGGGGTGATCCTGTCGTCAGGTGCCTTTATTTCCTATTCGCAGAAATAAACGTGAAGACTTGAATTTTTGTGCAACTCCGGAAACCAAAAATATCAATTCTTTTTCATAACATATGAATTTCACGTTATTTCATTGCTTATTTTTAAAAATAAGATCCCTAAATATAATGAAACTATATTATTTTTAGCAGAAGTATTCTTTTTGGAGTTTAAAAATGAAAGAAATGACCACAGGTTTCCACCCCATTTCAGCGAGATCTTCCCCCATCCCAGCTGATTAATAAGGGCATTCGTTAATAATGCTGTTTTTATGCAAGAAATATTTTCTTTCTTTTTTTTTCTGAAATAAATTTGATCCCCCCACTTCAGATATGTAAAATAATAGATTTTAGCTCAAAAATAAAGAAAAAGAAATATAATAAATATTCATTGCAACATAATTATTATAATTAATTAAACAAGTATAGTAATAATTTATGATCGCATAATTGTTATAACTAATTATTTAGAAACTCCTTTTTTTTCAGCGTACATTAATGCACATATGTATATTTTAGTTCAAAGATAAAAAAGATGGCATTGAAATATCAACACACCCACTTTAGTGCTGTTTGGATATTTATAAAGATGAAAAGGAAAAGTTACTAATCTAGTGCAAGTTGAGAGTTTCCGTGCCTTATTTTAGAAAAATTCTCAAACTATCGGTATTTATCGTAAGTCGGTAAGCATTATCAGCATATGAAAAGAAAACATACTTCAGCAATTTAAAATACAAATTTGAACTATTGGATAAAGATTACGTGGTACACTAAAAAAAAAAAATAATAAATAAAAAATAAATAAATAAATAAATAAAACACTTGCATTCTTCTTAAAATCTTTTTGTGGGCTATCCTTCTCCCAAAGTACCCAGTGATCTGTTTTCGCTTAAAAAATATCAGATTATCGCAGACATTCGACTTCGTGCAAACATCGGTAACAGCGGCTATCAAGGAAACGCATTTCTTCGTTGTTCACTTTAGAAAACTTTCAGAAGAATTCTATATTCTTACAAAAATTATCGCTGCTGGCAAATTCCACAGGATCTTTTATTGCTGGAAAATTCCACAAGATCATATTTTACAATTAAGGCAAAAAATATCACGATTTCATTATAAAAACTGTTGGAACTTGGAATACAACAAAAAAAGAATGAATATGAAAATGGCAGTGTTGCTCGACTGAATGACTGCTATGAGAATGATTGCGGAAGAATGGTTATGCACATAGTTGTTAGAATTTGACCCATTCTGAAAATTTGGCGACTTATAGTAACGCGGTTGCTTTATAACCTAAGTATCAGAAAGATATATAATAGTCCTTCGCTTTAAAGAAGGCAGCTCTCTGGGCAGGCAACACCATTTTTCCATCCATCAGCTTCTACACGGCGTCAGCGTCCTACAGGCACTGAACAAGAACGGCACATAAGCCTTTCACATCTCTTCATTAAAAGAAGTGCTTATTACCCTGTCTTCTTCCAGGCAAGTGTCTTTATGCTGGGTACGTAGTCATCAAGGTACCCAAGGTAACGAAAGGGCCGACTCTTTAGCTAAAAAAGCCGCAAGTCACCCCTTCATCGACTTAGAGATACCACTTTCCATAGTCGCTGCCAAACACATGATCTTCTGCGTCTTCATGTCCATCTGGCAAGCTCGCTGGGACGGTCAGATAACCAGGTCTAGGCACCTGACGAAATGGGAAGGCATCAAGCCTCAACTCATGTATATATGTAAATATCTCTAAGCTAACTAATCCTTTTTGCTAATTTTCTACTAACATTCCAAAAAAATTGTAAGTTGGAGCACCCAACAAAACTAATAACTATTGTTAAATCTGTTTATCTGTAATAAGGTTGAAAAGATAAACAACCAAAATAGGCAGGCGGAATAATAATAAATAAATATAATAATTATTAACTATAGTATTATTATAATAGTTATTTATTATCGTAAAATTATTATAATTAATTATAATAATTATTATAATAGAATTCTTTGTAATGAAAATTTTACAATAAAATATAATAACTAAAAAAATTATAACAATTATTACAGAATGATAGTTACTTATAGTTTAGTATACAATTATATATATATAGCAGAATTAAGCTTTCGAAACACTCATATTTTACCAATATATAAAAAAAATATAAATGTACACAGTTAAACACAATGTAATCAAATAGTTAATTACAAATATATATATATCTTAAACTAATTTAAAGTAATTTTCTGCCTCCTTAAACCAATACTATTTGAACTCAATGAAAATAAATAGAGAAAAAATAAGAAGGAAAAACTCCCAACTACACGATATGCCTATCCACCCTATATCATCAATAAATTGATCCTAAATATCTCCTTGATCCCAATGGAACATGCACACAAGTGTCTTGTTTTGCGCCCGCAAAGTCTATCTGAACACAGGGCGAAAAAACAATCTTAGGTACGAAGGAAAGGCAAATAGAAAGAGAGAAATTTTGTCTGAGAGAAAAATAATTTCGTAGCATTTGACACGGAGTTCTTAAAGCCAGGTAAATAAGCAGGTTAAAAAATATGACCCACACTAAATAAAAATAATAATATTATGGACCCAAGTAAGATAGAGAAGATGAAAGAGAAGCGTGAATAAAACTAACCATAAATGTGTCCTAACATGCAATGAACTATGTGTCAATTATGAAGAAGTACACTTGACCTAGCACCTAATCGTGAAGGCCCCAATGTGCTGGTGTAAATATATAGTATGTTGAGTGAGGTGTTGAAAATACTAGCCAAGTATAATAAAAACGATGAGGATGCTTCATTCCAGTAACTGAACACTCCTTAACATTTGTTTCTCATCAGAGGAAAAAAATGAAACTAAAAAACCTCTGATCAGGAGTGTAGCTCTTGGAAAACTCTTTAAGCGTGCTTGAGCTAGTTAAAACCGCAGACAAAGACGAAAGAAAAAAAGGGAGCAGATTGTTTATAATTTAAAACCTCATTAGGAAGCTAACTTTAAGCTAAGACAGGAAAGTAAAATAATAATAATAAAAAGTTAAAAATATAATATAAAGTAGGGGATCCAAACGTGGAATAGAAGGCAAGAGGATTGCTTCTCCATGAGACTTAATAGCAACAAAGAAACACAACATCAGAGAAAAGTTGATTTTTCTGATCCATTTTAAAACACAGCAGCAGACAAATGTAAATACGCATACACAATTTAAGATCCTATCAACCGAAAAAAAAAAAAAAAAAAAAAAAAAAAAAAAAAGGTGGAGATAGGAGACCAGATGCTTGATACTCTATTCAGCCAAAATAAAAGATACTGACAAAGTAAATAGCGTTCAAAGTAAATAGCAATAAGCCAGAACGCACAGTGAAGATTCATATAAAAGTATTAAATACTTGGAGTAATTCACGAAACGTTAAGAAATAATCACATGATCCTAAAAAGCGGAATCTTTAAAGCCGCAACGATTCCTAGGAGTAACAGTAAATAAATAAAGTTTACATATGAGGCAATAAATTCATCTTAAACATTTCCACGCAAGACTTCAACAGTCATACTGAAAGAAAAGTAACGCCTGGGAACAAATTACGAATGCACAAATAAGCTTTAGAAACGGTACTAATTTTTACTGAGCAAACAACCTTCCCTGCGAAGGGGATAAAATTTTTAAATCTAAATATTGATATTTTTATACAAGAAATAAATGAAAGTAAAACGTACGTATTCCTAATTCCAAGGAGCAAAAATTTTCCCTTTTCCTCTCTTGCAGCAAATACTGAGATCAACGAACTACAGTCAAAGAATCTCTAAGGAGAAGAATGAAAGCTTCTATAGACGCAATGTAAACCTGTTTCGCCTCTGCGCCGCTGTACCGAAGAGCCACGGCTATGCAGTGGAACACCAGCACAGGGTGAATTTTCAATAGCGCAGTCCGAGGAGATAGTAAATTTTTTACTTTGAAATAACTCAAAATGTTTTATTTTCATACATTTCTGAGTTTTATGAGCAAAATGATGTTAGTGGAATTTTGTGCGAATTATAGAAATCTTATCCAATTTTTACTTTCAATTTAAACAGCGAGCCATACGAAGACAAAATTTAAATGAAATAAATTTCTTAATACTTAACAGGATTCAGAGACTTTTGTTCTAGATAAATTGTGTAGTTGATCTTTTATGTTCTTATCTTTAATTGTTTCGCATGGAACATCCTAAAATTTAATTGCAAACTGAATTTTAAAAAAATGAATAAACTTTATTTTTATATTATATTATATTTTTATTTTTTCCCCTTAACCCTTCATTCTGTAAATCCACATAATTGTTTTTCATTTGATATAATATCCAGCATTAACTTATAACTAACATCATAATTAATAGAAAACAAAATTAACTACGGCTGTGATGTTAAATTTCTAACAAATCTGCAATTAATTACATAAATAACGCTATTTTGTAATTCTTTTCACATCAAGCATATTATTAAATATTAACATAAAGAATAACACATTTTAAGTAAAACAGTGATATTTATTGACATTTCTCAAGTTTCAGAATATAGGTATGCAAAATAATTTTAAGCATCTTCACAAATACCAAGGAATTTTTTAGATAATTATTTGGAATGACCATTATGAAAGCCATGAACAATGTTTGCAGCCTAGAGCCAAAAGCATATCACTTAAATTAACAAACACAAAATTACACTTAAAAGGTCTTTTAAAGAACTTCACATAAATTATTAAAATAACTTATTTCATTCTTTTTTCGTAAAATATTCAATACTTCTTACATTTATTAATATAAGATTAAATACTTAACTTGAAAATCAAACCTATAGGTATTATTAAAACCTGGGAAGAAATTTTGCAAATAATTTACTGAATCAATAAATATTGTTATATCAAACAAATATTGTAGCCATTGGGACAAAAATTATTTGAAATTATAAAATTAAGAATAATTTTTTTTAAATAAAAATTACAAAAATGACTATTTTCCACCTTCGCTATACAACTAATAATTGTAAAATTGCTGTATGCTTGGATTTTTCATAATTTTAATTTTGCAAAAAAATCTATTTAATCCAAAATTATTCAACAAATGAGTACATTTAATTATGTAGACTTAAACAGGGGGGAAAACACATGCCATACAATAGGTAATAAATTTTTATGAATCCATAGTTAAAATTTTACAGTGAAATTTTAAAAGCAAAATTTGCATATAAGTAACTGAAACAGAAAAATAATTAAAGATAATTAAAAGCACCCCAAAATAAATTGAAAACACTGAAATGCATTATAATTATCCGACAACAACTTAAAAAAAAAAAATTTACCGTGGAAACTTTTAGACAATTATTTGGAATGACCATTATGAAAACCAAGAGCAAAGTTTGCACCCAATAGCCAAAAGCCAAAACCATTTCACTTACAGCAGGGATGTCAAACTCATAGGTACACTTGGGCCAAACAAACAAGGTTTAAATTTAGGCGGGCCGAAAAAAAAAAAAAAAAATCAATATTCATAGAAACGTAGATTTATTTCGAATAATACAATATTAAACATATATATATATATATTTATATAGAAAAGAACAAGAAAAAATTTATGTTATTTACGCCCTATACTTGACATCTCTTCTCTGCTATTATCTTTCCTATTTCGGGAGAAATTTTGTTTGCAGTGATAACTTTCAACGCTGACCCAAGGTGAGCATCATTAATACGGTTTCTAATAGGAGACTTATTACCTTTCATGACTGAAAATAACTGCTCGCACCGATAAGTGCTACCAAACATCGAAATAATTTCATATGCGAATTTACGAGTATTTTCAAACCTGGCTGGTAAATATTTGTAAAATTCAGGCACGCCCACTTCAATGAATTTTGCTTTCAAATTTGAGTTGCAGTGAATCTCGATCACCTCCATTTGCATATGGCTGGGTACTGAGTCAATACTTATTGAGAAAATCGAAGAAAAAAAAATTGTCTTCGAGGAAACTAAAATCATTAAACCTCGTTTCAAATTCAGTTGTTAAATTTGCAATTTTTTCTCCGTATTTTTGATACGAACAAGTATCATCTAAACTTGATTTGTTCATGCTGCACGTCGGGAAGTGCGTCAAATCTTCATTTTTAAGTTGTTTTTCCCACAGAACTAGTTGCCATTTGAATGCTTTAATTATGTCAAATATGTTCGTAATGATATGATCTTTTCCTTGTAACGATAAATTTAAATCGGTTAAGTGTTTGGTTATATCAACCAAGAAAGATAAATCTTATATCCATATTGGATCGTAAAACAAACTTACGTCTTGATTTTTCGTTTTTAAAAACTAACATATTTCTTCTTTCAAATCCCAGAATTGTTTGAGAATCTTGGAGCAAGATAACCAACGTACCTCGGTATAGTAGGACAAACCCGAATATTCACTATCTAACTCACTTAAGAAAGCAGTGAATTGACGCTGATTTAAACCTCGAGATCTTATAAAATTTATAACTTTTTTTTATATATGACAAAACATTCTCCATATTTATTACTTTCGTGCATAGAACTTCTTGATGTGTAATGCATATGATGAATGTTTGAACCGTGAATTTCACTAAGTTTTTTTTCTTAGTAATGCTACGAAGCCCTTGTTTTTCCCTATCATTGATGGAGCGCCATCTGTAGCTACAGAATCTAATTTTGCCAAAGGTAGATTATATTTCTGCAGAAGTCCAAAAACACAAGTAAATATATCTTCTCCTGTGGTAGTACCAGGTATCGGTATTAGTTCCAGTAATTCCTGAAAAATGTTAAAATTCTTGTCACAAGAACGAAGAAACACTACTAATTGAGCTTTGCCACTAATGTCCGTGCTCTCGTCACAGGCAATGGAGAAACTTTCGAAACTAGATGATTTTGCTTTGATCTGATCACTTCAATTCGCGGCTAAATCAGTAACTCTTTCCGAAACTGTATTTCGAGATAATGAAATTGATTGAAAAGCCTTCACATTTCCAGGACAAACAATTTCTCCAGCTTCCATTAGGCATTCCTTGATGAAATCACCGTCAGTAAAAGGCTTCTAATGTTTAGCTATCGAGTCGGACAAGACGTAGCTTGCATGTACCGCCGCTTCACTTTCTTGCAATATTTTACTAAACATGGACTGTTGCTTTTTCACTCCTAACTTGAGCTCTTTCAACTTTTCTTCTCTCATTAATCCTTCGTAATTGTTATATTTCGATTTGTGTTGTTCGTAATGACGTTTAATATTATATAACATTGGTACATTAATAGTATTATTACATATCAAGCAGATTATTTTATCTTTTATTTTACAGCAAAAATATTCTAATTCCCATTTTACTTGGAATATTCTATGTTCGTCAGCGATTTTTCATTTAATTTTACTACCACTTGGTTTTGATATAGACATACTGAATATAAAGGGCTAGAATAAACACGGTTAACGTTAAAAAGTTAACAAAATTTATTCTTTCCACAAGAGATAAATCAAACTGCTGAAATATTTCTTCAAAAATATTCTAGCAATATCACAAAATGTCAAACGTTTAGCAAAAATCAATTCAAAACAGTGAAACTAATTCTATCTCACAGCGAAATCGCTACAAATCAATCACAGCATTAAGTAAACAAACAGTTCGCTAGAACTACAGCTACTACTGAGATGAGTTGTTTGTTCTCGGCTTTTATAAGCTTTATAATTAATTTCTCGAATAGACTGGAAACATCTATAAATATCTGGATTTTTTGTGGATGGCAACAGCAATTACGAGATATTTATTTATTAGGTTATTAAATGCACGCGCTGTTCTATTTTTTAAAACCTTCCAACGCAGCTGTCTTTTCAAAAATCTTCTGCGTTGCTAAGGCAACATGAAGCAAATCTAATTACAATTCTAAATAAAAAAAAACTAAATAAATAAATAACTATGAAATCCGTAACAATATGAATTAAGTAATAATTAATAATAAAGCAAAGTGCATGCACATGCATGCACCAATATATCGTACAAAACTATGATTGGAAAACTGAGACCATGAGTTCGGGCACATTCGGCTATCGGGGGATGCGTACAAGTTCTGAGTGCACGTGTCCCCCAAAAGCCGAAGGTAGCTGAACGCAAGCTACTCACACGCATCTGTAATTTAAGTAGTGTGTGTGTCAGCTAGCTGTGAGTAATCTAACAACACAATAAATTATCGTTAATTACTTAACAATAAACATTTCATTTTTTTCTTCGTCGATATGTTATTTTATTATTATATATTATTATTTGCCGATATATTGGCCGGGCCGCAAAAATATTTGTTGTGGGCCGCGAGTTTGACTTCCTTGACTTACAGCATTACATTTAAAAAGTCTTTTAAATAATTTCACATAACTAGAACCAAGTACCTCCGACTACAACAAAAAAGAACCTTTTCGAACAATGCGGTAAAACATTGCTAATATGGCCGACGGCATGCTGGATGTTATTTCGCACATGCGCAGTGAGGTATGGAGGGTGGATGGATTGCCCCTTTAAAATAAGCTTCAGGCATATACATAATGTGTCTCTTCGGTCTGACGGAGCCACATTTTCCTCGGGAAACCTTTATTCTTCTCCTTAGATATTCTTTGCTACAGTCTTTACCAAGAAAGAAGCTCCTCTCCCCATTTCAGACGAAGGGGGCAGGTCGGAATACAAACAGTCGGATAGCGTCATTACGGACGACATTATAAGGAAGAACTATACGTATACAGAAAGTTAAAAAATCATATTAAGATCACAAATGATGAGCAGTAAAAGCTGATATAAATGAAGAAGTGGAAAGGAAACATCCTACCTTGACTATGGAATTTCAGGTTATATCCCTAAAAGGTTTCATATAAATTCTTGAAAGGAGCAAAGACATGAACAAAAGATTTTCTTCTTCTATAACTAAGGAAGAGCAATAATGCTCATCCGAATTGTTAAAATAATTAAATAAATAAATACAAAACTCCGAACTTTCCGAACAAGAACGTTAAGAAAAGATAAGATAAAAAACATAAGATAAAAATATACGATAAACATAAGATAATAAACATACGAGCCGGCTATGAGCCGGCATATGTGTTAAACTAGCATTCATTAAACTGTAAGTAAGCATTTCGTAGAAAGCGAATGTATTATCTAACTCAGTTTTCCATTTTCTCAATTTAAACCAAACAACCTCCTAACAGTTCATTAATAAAATAATATTTGAATGTTTAATTCTAGAATTAAATGAAAATGACTTGAGAGCATTGGCATGAGGGCTCAGATTAAATCAATAATTAGAATCCTGATTAAACGGAACAGAGTGAATTTTTGCGAAAATAAGTGTTTACTCATAATTGGGTTATAACTGACGTGTAATTATCATGGCGGATACGTCAGCGGAAGCGCTGCGATCACCGAGGCAAGCGGCCGCACGTTCACAACACTCGGTAAATAAGTGAAAAGCATTTCTTTCTCCTTAGTGACTATCAATTACATTACTTTGAAATAATGTTCCTTCTAGAAAACCTACAGCTTTTCAAAAGATTTTCAACTCCGATGTTGATGATAATGAAAAACGGACAATGTGAGGATATACTGCGAAAGCCTGGAATTTTGAGATGAGTACCCTTCTTTTATCTAAACTAAATCAAATTTCTATAAATAAGTGCCTTTAAATTAATTAATTGAAATTTTCATCAGTTTTTAGCATTAAACAATACTTGAAATTGCTCATTACTTATGGCTTCCTTTGTGGTAACAATTCCAAACAGACGTTATCAGTTCACGTCTGTCACCACATACAAAACCCCCCTTATCTTGTTTTGAGGAATCTACTTCCTTCTCTGATTTTTTTGTTTCCCTTTTTTCAAAATCGCGCTTTCTTCGCATTTGAATGTTATACTTCACCGATATTTTTTCTCATACTGTTCTTTGCTATCTGTTAAATGTCCATATGGTGAGGATGGATTATTCTTCATTGCCTTAAATAAATTCTTAGAATTATGAGTTTATATAAATAACAGTGTACCTTAATGTGTTAACTAGCATTAATTAACAAGTAATAAATTATGATAGTAAAATAATTAAACTTGTAATAAATTATGATAGTTAAATTAATAAATACAATGTTTAATTTATGTTTTTTAATACATATACTAGTAATTTATATACATATATATATATTTTTTTTTGTGCGGTTGTGGTCTTGTTTTGTGTATGGTTCTATGGTCTTTGTCTGGTGCTGTTTTTTGAAAAATGTGTGAAAATGTTGGGAACGAAAATAGCTAAAGTTATTTTAGTTAAATTAATATATACTTTTGTCTCATATTATGGGTCCTTTGCTGTTGTGTCTCTGGATGCAAGCATATATATTACTTTGTATTCCATGCTAAATACCTTGATACGAAGCATCTTAACACTGTCCCCCTTTTTTATCCTTTTCAATTTTTTCCCCAGTTTCACATCTATTCAGCATTGCCATACACACACCTGTGAGACACTATTTATTGTAAATGAACACAGCTTCCTCTCCTTTTGAGTACACTCATGAATACAATCGTTATTTTAGGATGTTTCCTACTTCTTTTCCTTTTCTTTCTGCAGGCCCCCTTCTTTCGCAGTGGCTAATCGTACCGACGGTCCGAAAAGCGCAGTGGCTAATCGTACCGACGGTCCGAAAAGCGCAGTGGCTATTCGTACCTCTACGTTAGCGCATGCTCACAATCAGTCAAGGTACAAGCATTTTACTCCCATTTGCCATAAGACAGGCGGTAGCGGGAGCGAGGGTTGTTAACAGTTTCTGCTTAACTTCCTTTATGCGATTTCTTTGTTAATTAATTTTTAGTTATTGTTACTGAAATTTACGTGTTATTTGTTTAACATAATTTGAGGACGATGGATGTGACAAAAACAAATTTCTTGCCTTTTGCGTGTGGAAACAAGTTTTCGACATATTTTGAATTTGAAAGGGCAAAAGAACTGTATGAAAATCAAAATTTTGCTGTTTTGATTAAAACGAGATCACAAAATTTCACGATGGTCATAAACATCGTGAAACGGTACCGTGCAAATATATTACCTGTGAATGCAAGAAAGGACATATTCATAAACAGTCATTATAAAAAGTTATATTCATATTCATAAAGAGTTAAATTCTTTTATTTAACATAGGAACTTTTATGCAAGCTTAGACCCTAGTCTTCTTATAGCATAGAACTGGGAGAATTTATTTTTCAATAACAAAACTTATTGGAAATTATAATGTTCTTATATATGCATCACTTTTTCAGTGTCCACACATAAGTTCAAATGCCATATTTCAAAATCAAAGCTATTCATGAAATAAAAACCTTATAAAATCTGATAATTCATTTGCGTGTGCAAATTTGTCAATCTAAATTTCTTACATTAAATTATTGTCTTTTAAATTATAGCCCCTTATTTATTAAAATTTAATTTATTAATGTGTTTCTATTAATATTTCAAAGTCCTTTGGAAATATTTTTTGTGTTCTAAAAATGAAGACTATTTTCATAAAAAAATTAAACAGGCATACAAAATTGTTAATAACCAGTATATGATTAATTTTTAATTTAATAGTTTATTTTATTCCTTTTAACTTATTTCATGTCTGAATTTTCTACGCAGACATACTCTGTCTAATTTTTATTACCTTTTTTCAGACGAAAAATTTCAAAGCGGAATGAACAAAAATCTTGATTGTGCGAAACACATACTTGAATCTAAATGTATTCGAAGAAATACAAAAAATTTAAACGAGGTTTTAGTCAGCCCCCTTCAAATCAGTCATTTAAACTATTCCAATCGTTCAAGAGAACGAACGGCTGGAGTAGTTTATGCGAACATAAAAATCTGCCCTTTTTATATATATACATAAATTAAAAGAAAAGTGTTCCTTCTTTGTATATATATAAGAAAAGGAACGCATTTCCCTTTCTAATCTTTCGGAAGTCGCTAACACGCTTAAAGAATGAAAAACTACTTCAAAGTAGTAAACTGGATTAAAAAAAAAGAGAGAGAGAGAGAGAGAGACTCACTTCAACAGACTTGGCAGTTCGCGTACTTAGGATTCCTTCTTTTCGATTCGGTTCAAATCAAGGAGGTTAGAAAAGAAGGAGGGAAGGTTTAACTTAAACGGTGAAGCTTGGCGGGCATGTTCCTGTTATCGCTGACTTGTGCAAGGAAGTCTGTATTTGCAATATTTTTTTTCTTCACTTTGAAGCATGTCAGCTTGTGTTGTATATGGATGCACAAACAGTTTTCGAAAAAGATTCCTGGAATTACTTTTCACGCGTAAGTACTGATTTTCTTATTTTTTTGTGTAATTTGATAACTATGGTAAAAAATATCACAATGTCATGTTGTTTTCATTCCAGATGTGAAAAAAAGGACTTCATAATAACCAAAATATATAAAATACATTTTAATGTTTCTGTTTATAGCTGGCATCTTTTTTTCTTAACATACAATGATGTATGCTAGGATTTAAACTATATAATTTGAACGTTTTAGGTAATTCGCTTGATAATTTTCATGAAAAGTAAGACACCGATTGTTACTATTTTTATGAATTGTAAAGGTGTTAAATAAAGTAATGCTGTTTTTTATGTATTAATTATTATTCATTTTAAAGTTTTTTGAACTGTTAAGAATATAATTTGTGCATTTGATCAAGATAAAGTAACTTTTCTGTTGTTAAAATGTTTTTGCATAAATTTACAAATTTGTGGCCGTATAGCGATAAAAGTAAGTAAAATATTTACACAACTGAACATGTGGAAAGATGGTGTCCAAAAATATAGATATAGGTATATTTCTGTAATTCAGCTTAATTCAAGGCAATTTCTTTGAGATTCATAAATATGAAACGCGCATAAACTGAAATCACTGAATTCACATAAATCTGTTTCATTTTATTAATATTTATAATCTTGTTGTTATAAGGTTGTTGGTTGTGAAAAGAATCTATTTAAAACTTTCATTTAAAAAAAATGCAACTTGTGACTATTTTTTTAGATAATTATCTGCTATTAATTTCAGGTTAAATATATTTTAAATGATTCTTTGATAAATTACAGTATTGTGAATAAAACAGAAATATCACTTATTAAAAAAAAACTGGAAAGTACACCCAACAGGTTGCTAATAAAACCTAAAACAAACTCTTGAAATATGCAGAAACATTATTTTTAAAGGCTTTAACGTTATGAACATGCATTTAGATTTCGAACTATTTCTTAATGATTTTTTGTACGTAGTAAATTACGGATATCATCTTTATAACTTTAAAACAAAAACCAACAATAGCGAAGTATTTCATTATAAATTTTACATATTTTTAGTGGAAAATACATGCACGGAACAGCTTAAAAACACGTACGTTTCACTGCCGTAATGCAATGTTTTGAAGTTACAAACATGGACGCCACTTGTTCGGGGCAGTTTCATTCCCCGATAGTGGAGGAAACTGCGTATCCTCCCTCAAACAAGGAGGTTAGGATAGAAGGAGGGAAGGTTCAACTCAAACGGTGAAGCTTGACGGCCATGTTTCTGTTATCGCTGTGACTTGTGCGAGAAGTCTGTAATTCCAATTTTTTTTTTTTGAAGCATGTCAGCTTGTGTTGCATATGGATGCACAAACAGATTTTCGAAGAAAGATTCCTAAGATTACTTTCCATTCGTAAGTATTGGTTTTCTTTTTCTATGTAATTTGATAAATATGTTTAAAAATATCACAATGTCATGTTTTTTTCTTTCCAGATGTGAAAAAAAGTACTTAATAATAATCAAAATACCTTAAATACATTTTAATGTTTCTGTTTATAGCTAGTATCTTCGTTCCTTAGCATAAAATAATATATGGTAGGATTTAAACTCTATAATTTGAACGTTTTAGGTAATTCGTTTTATAATTTTCTTTAAAAGTAAGAAATCAATTGTTACTGTTTTTATGAATTGTAAAGGTGTTAAATAAAGTAATGCTTTTCTTTATGTATTAAATATGATTCATTTTTAAGTTTTGTGAACTGTTAGGAATACAATTTGTGCATTTGATCAAGATAAACTAACTGTTCTGTTGTTAAGAATGTTTTGCATAAACTTACAAATTTGTGGGCAGTATAGCGATAAAAGTAAGTAAAATATTTACACAACTGAACATGGGGAAAGATGTATCCAAAAATTTATATAGGTGTATTTCTGTAATTCATCTTAATTCAAGGCAATTTCTTTGAGATTTATGAATAGGAAACTCGCATAAACTGAAATCACTGAATTCACATAAATCTGTTTTATTTTATTAATATTTATTTTCTTGTTGTTATAAGGTTGTTGGTTAAGAAAAGAATCTATTTAAAACTTTCATTAAAAAAATGCAACCTGTGACTATTTTTTTAGATAATTATCTGCTATTAATTTCAGGTAAAGTATTTTAAATGATTCTTAATAAATTATAATATTGTGAATAAATCAGAAATATCATTTCTTAAAGGAAAAATTGGAAAGTACATCCAACAGGTTGCTAATAAAACCTAAACAAATTCTTAAAATATGCAGAAATATCATTTTTAAGGGCTTTAATGTTATGCATATGCATTTAGATTTCGAACTATTTCTTAATGATTTTCTGTACGTAGTAAATTACGGATATCATCTTTATAACTTTAAAACAAAAAAACTAACAATAGCGAAGTATTTCATTATAAATTTTACATATTTTTAGTGGAAAATGCATGGACGGAACAGCTTAAAAACATGTACGTTTCACTGCCGTAATGCAATGTTTTGAAGTTACAAACATGGACGCCGCTTGTTGGGTGGAGTTTCATTTCCCGATAGTGGAAGAAACCGCGAACCCTCCCTCCTTCTATTCTAACCAAGGAGGTTAGAATAGAAGGAGGGAAGGTTCAACTTAAACGGTGAAGCGTGGCGGCCATCTTCCTGTTATCACCGTGACTTGTGCAAGGAAGTCTGTCATTGCAACATTTTTTTCTTTTCTTTTTGAAGCATGTCAGCTTGTGTTGCATATGGATGCACAAATAGGTTCTCGAAAAAAATTCCGGGCATTACTTTTCACACGTAAGTATTGATTTTCTTTTTTTATGTAATATGGCAACTATGTTAAAAAATATCACGATGTCATGTTTTCTTTCCAGATGTGAAAAAAAGGAGTTAAATAATCACAACATGTTATGTAATATAACTACAATAAAAAAATGTTAAATATATTTTAATGTTTCTGTTTATAGCTAGTATCTTCGTTCCTTAAGATACAATGATATATGGTAGGATTTAAATTGTATAATTTGAATGTTTTAGGTAATTCCTTTTATAACTTTCATGAAAAGTAAGAAATCAATTGTTACTATTTTTATTAATTGTAAAGGTGTTTAAGTAAAGCAATGCTTTTCTTTATATATTAATTATTATTCATTTTTTAAGTTAAGATAAACTGTTCTGTTGTTAAAAATTTTTTGCATAAACTTACAAATTTCTGATCAGTATAGTGATAAAATTAAGTAAAATATTTATTGAACATGTGGAACAATTGAACATGTGAAAAGATGTATCCAAAAACTTGTATAGGTATATTTCTGTAATTCAGCTTAATTAAAGGCAGTTTCTTTGAGATTAATAAATATGAAATGCGCATAAACTGAAATCATTAAATTCACATAAATCTGTTTTATTTTATTAAGTTGTGAAAAGGATCTTCTATTTAAAATTTTCATTTAAAAAAAAATGCAACTTGTGACTATTTTTTTAGATAATTATCTGCTATTAATTTTAGGTTTCCTAAAAATGCAGAACGAAGAGCAGCTTGGATACGAGCTGTTCGAAGAGAGAATTGGATGCCAACTTCCTATTCACGACTTTGTTCGGATCATTTTTCTGAGGATCAGATTGACAGAACTTCATTATGCTGTGTAAGACTGAGAGAAAATGCTGTGCCTAATATCTTCAAAGCATTTCCACTTCATCTGCAGAAGGTACATTATTCTGTTATTATTACATAGTGTGTGTGTATTTAATTATGGCAAAGCACACGAGGGCTATCTGCCTAAGGGTAGGGATGCCTTTCGTGGAGGACTTTCTAAGGGAAACTGGCTCGTATACACGTTACACATGGGGAAAACCACGAAAACGCCCATGCAGCCAGCCCGTTCGCGGGATTCGAACCTCGGATCGAACTACCAGTGTTCAGCGACTTTACCGCTCGGCCGCTGGTGGGCAATATTATTACATAGAATAAGGAATTAAATAAGAATTTGTGTACATGTTTATCTCTGAAATGATATTTGCAAAAAGATCAAATACTTCAAGTAGTCTGATTTCAGTAAAAACTAGTAAAATGATATTGGTCTAATGAAACTTGCAATGGCATAACATGCAAACTTATCATATGTGGTTATATGTGTCATTGTGGTAATGATTTCCAAAATATCTTTCATTCAGACTTAATGAAAAGATATGTTTACTTTAATTTAAAGAATATTTCAGTAAATTTAGAAAGCATTATTTCAAAACAAAAATAAATTGACATTAAATCATTGTTTGGAAAATGAATTATCTTATTTTTAGTTAGTGTTATTTTTCATGAAATTTTTAAACATAATATCATTTTGCATGTTAATTAGACTACATAAATATTACAAGACACTTATAAAAAGTTTATTAGAAGTAAATCTGCATTAGTCATGCTTTAATAAATATCTTTTCTTTTCTTTTCTTTTTTTTTTTTTTTTTTTTTTTTCCCAGACCAAAAAAACACGAAAAGTTCCTGCAGAACGTCTTCTTGAGGATAAAAAGAAAGAGGTAAGTTAGTTTTGAATTTAATGTTACCAGCAGTTCTTTTGTTTTCTTGATAAAATGTATTTGAAAGTAAAATATTTTGTATTCAAAGAGAATAAAGCAACTTTTTGCGTGAGAATTATCATAATAAGAAATGTTTAGAATCAACAATAACCTGTCCCTTAACCAACAGAAATTTTTTTTCTTTTGATTTGCTACTTTTGGATATAACGTTGTGCTTTATGCAAGAATTTTCTCTTCTAAAGCCTGAATAAAGTTAAAAGCTTAATGCAAATAATTGCTGGAAAAATTGGTCATGACTATTTTAGACGAGGACAGTTTTTTAATAAGAAAAATGAAAGAATTAATGCTTTCTGGGGAGTTGGCGGGCCATTTGTCTGAAGCTTAAAAAGACAAATAACAGATTTCTTCTTGACAAAAAACTGAAAAATGTTCTATAAATTTTATTATTTTACCAATTTAAACAGTGCCATTCCTGAAATGAAGCTTCGGCAAACAGTCGCCAATTACTACTGATTAATTCTAAAGGACACATTCATCTGTAATGGGGCACTGAATCATATACTGTTTTACCAGTCAACTGAATAATATTCAAATAAAAAAAATAATAAAAAATCTGATATTCATTCAGAACACATACATTCATACAGATTCTTTATTATTTAATTTCTTTAAATATAATACAGGGCAATAATATTTGGTGGCAACTATTTGAAAAGTGATTTGCAGTTTATAGTTTTTAACGCAAAATGGCAAAATGAAATTAATAGTCCTTTAGGGCAAATTGCCCCTTTGGACTATTAAAGAATGAATGATACTATTAAAATGAAAGCAGGAATACCTTTTGTTATTTTTATGTAATTTTTTATTTGCCATACATCTGATTGATTGATTTTTTTTTTTCCAAGGAGCCTGTATTATGTGAACCACAAACTAGTGCAACGTCTGTTGAATATTCTCCATGCAAGCAACAGCTGAAGCGAAAGCTGCATAAAGCTGAAGAATTAAATAGTGTCTACAGAAAGAAAATTAAGCTGTTGCAACAAACTGCACGTAGACAGAAAAGGACTATCTGCAATTTGAAAACTGTTTTAAAAGATTTAAAAAAGAGCAGGATAATAAATGATGATTATCTGGACATTTTAAGAAAATCAATTCCTGTTAATGAAGAACTTCTTTTACGGGAATTAGCAACGTGTGGGAAAGGCCAGTTACCAAAACATTACGGTAACGAATTAAAGGCTTTTGCTTTAACTCTTCATTTTTATTCACCTAAAGCATACAAATATGTTAGAAAAACATTCAATTCATGTTTGCCACATACCAAGACTCTAGCAAACTGGTACAAATCTATAAATGCAGCACCTGGTTTTACACCTGAATCTTTGAATGCATTAGATAATGAAGTTAAGAGCACTTCATACCATCGCGTTTTTCATTGATCATTGATGTTATGACCATACGTAAACATGTTGAATTTGATGGCCAAATTTATCATGGATACATTGATACAGGTATGCAGAGTGACGATGATTCACTTCCACTAGCTAGAGAGGCATTAGTGTTTATGCTAGCATGCAACAATGGTAACTTTAAAATCCCAGTTGGTTATTTTTTAATTGATGGCATTAGTAGTGAAACTAAAGCAAACCTTGTGGTTAAGTATTTAAGTGTATTACACAATGCTGTATCAGTAACATGTGATGGTTTATCTTTGAATTTGAATATGCTAAGACATTTATTTTGCAGATTTCAATACTATATTTAAGCATACTATTGTAGCTTTTTTAGATCCCTGCCATGTGCTCAAATTAGTCTGCAATACCTTAAGAGATAAAAAATGCTTTGTTAATGAAAATGAAGGCCTTATTGACTGGAAATATATTAAAGCATTACAAGAGACAGAAGAGTCTAGGTCATCTAGGTAAACTGAAAAAGCAATATGTCAGACTCTTTCAGCAAAATATGAAAGTTTCTCTTGCAGAGCAGCCTTTTTATCCAATCTGTTGCTGATGCCATTCAGTTTTGTGCTGAGGTTTTAGATTTAGATGTTGCTAAATTGCAACTGTTGCTGTTGAATTTTGCTTAAAAATTAATGTTTTGATATTTTCTATTCAAGAAATTTAAAGCAGATGGGATTTTAAAAAACCGTGAGTATACAGAACAGCAGTTTTATCCTAAAAGCTCTCAATGACTTGCAAAGGTATTTAAGCAACTTGATAATTAGTGTAAATGGAATTAAAGTTACTGAATGTCATTAAAAAACTGGCTTTCTGGTATGTATTGAGAGTTATAAAATATTAATACAAAAGCTGGTAACTTTTAAATCAACCATTATTAATATACTTACCATCATATAAATTTAGCCAAGATCACATTGAAATGTTTTTCCAAATGATTCGTATGCAGGGAGGATGCATAATAACCCTACTTCATATCAATTTAAAACTGCGTACAAAGAGTACTCGCACAAACTCAAATAAGTGATTTATCAATGGCAATTGCAGTCCACAAGAAAATATAAGCATTCTGACTGCAACCAGTACGACTGCATCTGAGAAAATAATAAATATGACAACTGACGGTTAAGAGCTACGGATGAAACAACAATATATCTGGGATACTGTCAGTTCGATCATGATTACGTGTTTAATCCAGCAATATTAACCAGATGTTCGGAGCATATTGTTTATTACATAGCTGGTTTTGTTGTTAGGAAATTATCTTCAAATATTAAATGCGAGATGTGTTTAAATGCACTTACATCAAAAAAACCTATTTACAGCATTCACTTGTATCATTTAAAAGCAGGGGCAAATTAATTCATGCATCCCATGATGTGTACTTAATATGTAAAAAAGTGAATCTGTGTTTTTCGTTGTAAGCATGATTCAATGAAAACACCTACAATTTGACAGCGACGATTCAAGTTTGAATGCCCTAAAGGGTAATGATTATTTCCTTACTAAATGGCCATCCGATATGTCCCACTCGACAATATGTAGTCCTTTAGTAAGCAATAATAAAGTTATTTGCGTGTTAGGTATATATTTGGGGAAAATAATAATGCTGCCGAATCAATTCGACAGATGTACAGTCGGTCACAAAAGTATTCGAACACCGGTACCCTATCAGAAAATGACAAGATGGCGTTTTTTTTTTCTCTTTCTCTCTGTGTGTCGTGTTATTCCATCCTAGGTTTTCTTCTCCCCCCATCTTGGAAAAAACTGGAAAAAATTGGTTACGATCTCTTTTTGAATGGGGAGATGCCATTTTGAGAAAAAGCTGACGACCCTATCTTGGAGAATGAACATGACCGCTCTACACACCCTTTTACTCTCTCTCTCTCTCTTTGAATTGGGAAGCCATTTTGGGAAAAAGCAGACGACCCTATCTTGGAGAATGGAAATGAACGCCTCTCCCTCTCTCTTTGAAATGGGAAGCCATTTTGGGACCCTCTATTCTTGGGGAGGGAGAAAACTGAAGTCTGCATTTCGCTGTCTCTGAATGCGGAAAGCCCTTTTGGGAAAAGCGGACCCTCTTCTTCTGATCTTGGAGAACTGGAAATGAACGCTCTACACGATCTCTCTTTGAATTCAGAAGGTATTTTGGAACCTTCTAATGTTGGAAAACTGAAATGAACGCTCTACGCTTTTTTTTCTCTCTCTCTCTCTCTCTTTGACATGAGTAGCCATTTTGGAGGATTCTCCACCACCATCCTAACCTTGGAAAACTGAAATGAACGCTCTACACCTTCTCTCTCTCTCTCTCTTTCTCTGAAATGGGTAGTCATTTGAAAACTCCCTAACTTTGGAAAAAAACAGAAATGAACGCTCTACACCATCTCTCTTTGAAAATGGGGGGTGTCATTTTGAGACCTCCCTCCCCTAAACTTGGAAAAAAAACTGAAATGAACGCTCTACACTTTCTCTCTTTGGACATGGGTAGCCCTTTGGGGACCCTCTCCTCTTGGTAGGAAAAAAAAAAAAAAACTGAAGTGAAGGCTCTACACAATCTCTCTTGGAATGGGATCCATATTTCGGGAAACGTGGATCACCTCATGCTGGAAAACTGAAGTGAACCACCAAGATTGGACTCTATATATATTTTTTTTAATTGACATCATGACCCTCCTCCCAATTTGTTATTAAAAAAATTGTTTTTTTTGTTTTGGTTTTTATCCCATTTCCGATGTGATTTCAGAAATGCAATTCCATAACAGTTCAATTTCATTCGAGGTTAAATGATCTAAACAGTCTTTGACCCACCCATCCGTATGATTATTTTCTTCTCCTTCCTGTTGCACCAAATTTTGTAAGTCCATATAATCATTCCATACGGGAAGGGCTGGATCCTCACAAGGCTGTCTTGAAACACTTGGAGTCTCTTTGGGATGAGTGGAGGGATCTAGGATGTCTGGACCCGGCTGCGATTCTACCTCCATGATTTCTGGACCCGTTGGAACTTGTTTACCCGGCTGAAATTCTACCACCTCCATGATTTCTGGACCCGTTGGAACTTGTGAACCCGGCTGTGATTCTGCCTCCATGATTTCTGGACCCGTTGAAACTTGTTTACCCGGCTGACATTCTACCTCTACGATGTCGGGACTTTTTGAAGCTTGTGGACCCGTCTGACATTCTACCTCTACGATGTCGGGACAGGTTGGAGGAGAAGAAGAAGAAGAAGAAGAGGATACTGGAAGAGGTTCTGTCTGTGAGGAGTCCGAAAGAGGTTGCCTGTTTGAACAAGTCGGGGAAGAAGAAGAAGAAGAAGAAGCTTCTGGATTCTGAAGCGGATCTTGCACGCCAGGTAGGTTCCGGTAAGTCGACCGTTTTTTTTAAGAGGTAATTTTTTTTCTTCCTCCTCATCTTCAATTTGTGATGACTTCAATTTCATTCCGTTGCCGGGTCGATTTTGTTTCGGGCCATACGACGGTTTGGTCCAGCTCCTCTTATCATCTAAGGAAGGGATGGGTAAAGGTGGCGGAGGGTTTTCTTCTTCTTCTTTTTCTTGAAACATCATCGGCGATTGGAAAGAAATCTCCTCTTTCAATTGTTTCCAAAGCGAGTACGACGAGCACCGATCGACGAGAAAGAGACTCTTCTGGGTTGTGACGATGAGATATTGCGTTTTCGGGGGAACGACATAGTTTTGAAAAGGTCTTAGAATATATTTCTTATATTTCATCCTGTCGCTGACTTTAAAACTTCTTTCCTTCAGATTGGGGGACGATGATTCGTAATAGGCGAGAGGAGCGGCTGTGGTTTGAACAATATGAACTTCGTCCTCAGCCGTCGTTCTCACTCCAAACGTAAAATATCGTTTCGTGAGAAAATATTCTTCCACCGAAAACTCGTGCGCGGATCTGTATATCGCCGGTCTGTTTGAATGGGCCGTCTCAAAGCTCGATCCATCCGATTCCAAGAGAAGGGAGATTCCTCTTTCGTTTGTTGCGATTCGAATAAATTTCTGTATATATTCTGAACGAGCAGGTTGGAGGATTCGACATCTTGGTTGAAAGAAACGATCGCTTGATGAGGTGGTAAATGCGGAATAAATGTCGCACAATGACACGCCAAAAAAATTTTCAAGTTGGAGATTTGCTTTAGCGTCTTCAAATCCTCCCCGTTCGAAATCCGTTGAGTTGGAAAAACGTCTAATAGCGACATGGCTCCCAATGGAAAAGAAATGATCTCGCCCAGTACTCTCGTCTTTTTATATATCTATATAGACACACACAGACACACATAGAGGCTCTATGACGTCCGTTTTATTTGTTTTTTTTTGTTTCTCTCTCTCTCTTCTTTCCAAGAAATCTTATCTCCATGACCTCTTTTTCTTTTCTTAAAAGATGAATGTGTGTGGGAATGAGGAAGTGAAAGTAATAATTTAATAAACAAAAAATTATCCAACCATGACCTTTTTTTTTTTCAAAGTCACCCTTTCCAATCCAAGGACGTCCAGAGATAGAGGAAGCAGGGAGAGAGAGGAGGAGGGGGAAGGGAAGGTCACACTCTCTTTCTCTCTATAAATAAAAGGGGAGAGCCCCAAAGTCGTATTTTTGTCCAAGTGGATCATGAGGAGGCATCCCCAGCTCACTACGTGTATTCCTTTCAAATATAAATATGTTGATCTTTCCTTTTATATCATCCAAGGAGTCGTTTACCTGAAAGCCTCCGATTTTTCAAAATGTGCGGGTTATTTATACCGTGGGGAGTTATCAAAAGATGCGGGACGAATTTTTGTCCGACGAAAACGTGTTGATGGCTCGTGACATTCCACCTTTGGATGCACAAATTTTGTTAATGAAACGAGCCAAATATTTTTTACACGTCCCACTTTCTAACCGTCTCGCAAATGAATAGGATTATGGATCGTCTTGAGAAGACAAAAGGGATTCTCGTTCATTTTAGTGAATGGTTGCACAAATGTTTGCACG